GCACGGTTCAGAGGACAGGTTCATGTGACCGCGGGCCGATTTCACACCCCTGTGGCAACGATCCGGGCCACTTGGCCCAGTTCGCTTGTAAAAACCTATGTGACCGTGCCCTTATAGTGAGGAAAAACTGTCTGTATGACAACTTTAAAAATCCTAGGCGTTTCTGGAAACAACTCAACACTTTACTTGGTGAATTTGATCGTCCTTCTAGAAATATGATTATTAATCCTGAAATGATTGTAACTGCATTTAGTCAGCACTTTTCTTCTTTACCTAAGATGCAGCCTCCCTCTCAACCAACCTTGTCTCTTGATTCCACGTTATGTGGTAGTTCTTTTTCCTTCAGACAAATAAGTCCAACTGATGTTCAGCAGGCCATTAATGGACTCTCTTCTAATTCAAGTGCTGGCCCTGATGGTATCGAAGCCAAATTTATCAAGCTTGCATCTCATGTGCTTTCTTTTCCCTTAGCAGATCTTTTTAATTTATCTTTTTCTACCTGTGAAGTGCCTTTCCGACTGGAAACGTGTAAGAGTAATTCCCCTTCACAAAGGTGGTGACTCCTGCAATGTGAATAACTATAGGCCCATATTGATTATTAATTGCATTGTCAAAGTTTTTGAAAAAATAATTTTGACAATGTTTCTGATTACTTGTCTTGCAACAATATTTTATCTCGTTTTCAGCCTGGTTTTAGACCATTTTTTTCAACAACTTCTGCATTACTCAAGTTCACAAATGACATTTTTACTGGTTTTGACAATAATTTGTTCACTGGTGCATTATTTATCCACCTTTCAAAAGCATTCGATATGGTTGATCATTATCTTCTGTTAGATAAACTACACTCAATAGGTCTTGATAGGAACTCTTTTATGGTTTAACTCTTATCTTCATTTTCGCCAACAATGCGTTTCTTTTGAAGGTAATCACTCTGATTTTAAAACCATTGATAGAGGCGTGCCGCAGGGTTCATCACTTGGACCTCTCTTACTCTCAATTTTTATCAATGATCTTCCCCTTGCCTACAGAGATTGCAATATTCAACTTTATGCAGACAATACTATTATTTACAGTTCAAAATCTAACGTCATTGATATTCAAAACTTTCTCCAATATGACTTTGATAATGTACAGCATTGGCTCCAAGAAAACAAGATACTTCTCAATAAAACCAAATCACATTCAATGTTATTTTATGGTAAAAACCAACGTACAACAGTTGGTGCACTAAATATTGTATCTTTGGATGGATTGCCAATCGTACCTGTTGTGTTCTGAGTTGAGAGGTGAGTTCTGAAGTTGTCCTTTCAGAACTCACCACTGTCAGCTGTACAAACATCTCTTGGCTCACTCCATCCTCCAGACGACAATTTCACTGGCTATTTTTTATTTTTAAATGTATTATTAATCTCAGTTATCCTGATTATTTGAAACAATATTTTACACAATTTAGTTATTCTTACAACTTAAGACATGAAAATGAATTATTTATTGTTGTTCCTAGAATTCGAAAAGAAATAGGCAAATTTTCATTCCACCATAAAGCGCCTCTGGACTGGAATAATCTCCATGCCTCTATCCGCTCTATAACCTCCTATAATATGTATAAAAATGCCCTTTGGTCATATCTACAAACGCCTTGTAATTGTTTTTGAAATGTGTGTTATACAGTGTCTTACTGTAACTGATTTTGTTACTGTAGAGCTGTGTTTGTGTGAGTGTGTCTGTGTGAGTGTCTGTGTGTTTCTGTGTGTGTCTGTGTGAGTGTGTCTGTGTGAGTGTGTGAGTGTGTCTGTGTGAGTGTCTGTGTGAGTGTGCGTGTGAGTGTGTCTGTGTGAGTGTGAGTGTCTGTGTCTGTGTGTGTGAGTGTCTGTGTGTGTGTGTGTGAGTGTCTGTGTCTGTGTGTGTCTGTGTGAGTGTGTGAGTGTCTGTGTGTGTGTGAGTGTTAGGGCTGAAACAACTAATCGATTAATCGACGACTAATCGATTATTGAAATAGTCGACAACTATTTTAGTAATCGATTAATCGTTTTCTGGTTCACACGGACTCAGAGCAAAAATGACATGAAAATGTAGTATTTTTGATTAAAACCGACTTTGTTTTTATAATTTCATGAATATCTGTCTCATCCAATCAGAGCAGAATTAGCACAAAAAGCCTGTTACAAACATTTACTTTAAGTTTACGCCATCAATACGTCCTTGAGTGTTGCCACTTTAGCTTTTTGTGATGAAAAAATATTTTTTTTTCTACACAATTCACAGCCAAGCGATTACTCGATTAATTGTAAAAATAATCGATAGATTAATCAATTACAGAATAATCGTTAGTTGCAGCTCTAGTGAGTGTCTGTGTGTGTGTGTGTGAGTGTCTGTGTGTGTGTGTGTCTGTGTGTGTGTGTGTCTGTGTGTGTGTGTGTCTGTGTGTGAGTGTCTGTGTGTGTGTGAGTGTCTGTGTGTTTCTGTGTGTGAGTGTCTGTGTTTGTGTCTGTGTGTGAGTGTCTGTGTTTCTGTGTGTGAGTGTCTGTGTGTGGGTTCTTTTTTCATCCTGTATTTATTTATTCCTTTTTTTTGTACTGAGCCTGTACTGCTGTTTCTGTCTTGTGTTTTTGCTTCTTGTAATTCTTTTGAGGACCTTCTTGAAAACGAGATGATGCATCTCAAGGGGTTTATCCTCTCAAATGAGTGAGTTAAATAAATAAATAAATAGTAAGGTGCGGCTTAATTATTTTTTTCTGTGGCGACAAAAACCTTTTGCCAAGTAAGTTGACCAACACAATGTATGAGTAGTTCATGGAGGTCCAATTCAATTACAAGATTTTCCAATCAAGCAGATTAAATAAAGTTAAAAAGTCCTCACTTATAATATCTTTGTGTAAATAAATAAGTAACAGTTTGTTGGTTCTTTGTGTAGACATGAAGGTGAAAAGAGACCAGTAGATGTTGCTCCTTACCTTTTTGCTTTACACTGGAAGATAAAAAACAGTCAGACTCACTTCTTATTCTTACTATTACTCACAGTATAAAAAAAGAAATGAATGTTTTAGAGCTATTTTCTTTAATATTACAAACAATGTGGCACATGTGCGGTTTATAATGCAGTGCGGCTTGTACGAGTACAAAATTACGTTTATTTCTATAAAATTTGAGCCTGCGGCTTATAGTCCAAAAGATAGTTGTTCCAAAAATCTAAATATTTATAATTTGAAATCTAATGGTTTCCCTTTCTGGTTCTCAAAAGGTTTTTCAATCAACAACTGTGGTAATCCCGACGCTCTGCCTTTTGCACCTGAAGCAGTGTGTTTAGTGTTTCATGGATAATCTTCAATCTCGACACCGTTCCTTTTTGAACAGTGGTGTTTTTGTTTTGTTTTTACATCTCTTTGCTTTACATAAAACAACATTAAAGTTTTATGAATATTTCTCACCGGATATGGACATCAACCGTTTGTTGTTTCCCCACAAGACTTGTCTAGCTGTGATTCTGTTGTTGTGATTATAAGTGAAGAAGCAGAGGTCGGCTGATTTTCCGCTGCATCATATTTCCCCCGGCGACCCTGAACAGTGTGCGGGCAAATGTGATCTGACTGTCACCAACAAGTCCATGATCTTTGTCCGATATTTATCCCTGAGTTGTGACCTGAAGATGTGTGACCGCAGAGTCGTACCTCGTCAATACAAATAGACGACATTGAGAAGTCTCCTGTCATCTGCATTTTGTTCAATGATGAATCTACATGATAGTTGTTTTCTGGTTGAAAAAATTGGTTGTTTATTTTATAAGGAAATGCAAGAAAGGGTTGGTTGTAAAGGCAGCAAACGTTACATTTATTTATTATCAAAATAGTGACAAAAATAGTTATTTTTTATTTTTTAAACCTTTCCTAACATTCTTTTACATTTTTCCTTTTGGAGCCAAAATCTATGGGGATTGTGTCATGTATGTATTTAAAAAAAACAAAGGGACAAAGACTACAGTGCAAGTAAATGATTTCTAACTCTGAAGTTGAACGATAACTATATTCTGCGCAATGGAGGACCTCCAAACTGCCAAATACGCGCACGTGTGGCTCTCATGCACCTGCACAGAGGGGCACCGTCCTGACCAATCAGAGCTGCTGATCAGAGCGGAGCTAAAGCAGGAGCCAAACGAGCGGAGTTTGTTGCAATAAAGTGTGGATTTATCGAAATCTGAAAGATTGTAACAAGAAAAAAGTTCAGGACGACAAGGGACAATAAAATACCCAGAAAATCCGACCTTTATGAAAGCTGTAGGTTCTCTGTCTAGAACTATTGAAAAAATTTTGGGTAGCCCCCAGTCCCCCTATGCCCATTGGAGGGACAGCTATAAGCTAGTTTTACCCTATCCAGATATTATCATTGATTCATTGATTGTATACAGCACAACAAACATAAATTAAATGCAATATTTTGGTAAAACATGTTGGAAGTGTACGGATGGTCACCACTGCAACTCCAAAAGACACTAAATAGAAGTGCCACATCACATATGGGCTTGTTCTACATAACTACTATTGACCATACTATCAAATGTCTGCGTGTGAAAAACCTGATCCTAATGCTGCATTGATCGACACATACAGCTCTTAGGAAACTACACATGGCGTAGAGCAGGAGTCTGAGGGACCACAGCCGGCAGGAAACACTTTTACTGCTGAGTCACTGCCTGGAAGACCCAACTATTTGAACAGATGTTTTGTACAGGGCTCTAACCCAAACATCTGTGTACGGCAACAAATGTTGAGCCATAGTTTCACAACTTTTGGTGCAATTGTGTTTTCTTTTAAGCCTATTCCATTAATCGAATATTGAATGAATTCAAGTGGAATTGAAGTGGCGTTGAAAAGCATTTGTAGAGCACAGAGGTGCAGTTGGATGTTTTGTCACAGACTGGGATGGTTGATCACATGACAAACTCTCGTTCTTGTTTCCATTAGTAATGTCATTTAACCGTATTCTTTGTCTTCTTGGTGCAGGACCAGTTCGAAAATTTGGACAAACACACACAGTGGGGAATCGACTTTTTGGAGCGCTATGCCAAGTTTGTCAAAGAGCGACTGGAGATAGAGCAGATCTACGCCAAGCAGCTAAGGTAACTGCATCAGGCATGAATGACAAAGACAGATTTATTTTCTTCTCAAGGTTAGAATGGCCTGCCAGCACTAGACCTACATCCTGTCACACGGGAGGAGCTCGGAGTAGAGTTGCTGCTTCTCCGAGAGAGGAGCCAGTTGAGGTGGCTCGGGCATCTGTTCCGGATGCCTCCTGGACGCCTCCCTGGGGAGATGTTTCAGGGCCCATCCCACCTCGAAGACCCAAGACATAGCCGGACTGTGTCTCTCAGCTGGCCTCAGACCGCCTCTGGATTCCCCCAGATGAGCTAGAGCAGGCATGTCAAAGTCAAATACATCAGAGGGCCAAAAAAACAAATTTGCTGCGAGCCGAGGGCCGGACTGGTTCAATGTTTATTAACTCATTGCCTGCCAGCCTATTTCAGAACAGGTACTCCCATATTGCCAGCAGTTTCTGATGATTTTTATAGATTTTTCAGACCCACAGAATATTGCGTACTATGACTATCTGAAATCCGAAACCAGATTCTGAAAGAATAGACTGTCTACTTTCATCAGCAAAAATATTTTTAAAAAAAAGAGGCACAACAAGTGCATCTAGCTGTTTTCAAACCATTCAGAGAGCGCTGCTGCCACCTGCTGGCTCGATTCAATATGCTCTCAAGCTTATCCCCAAACATATTAGATATAATAGACATCTGGGAACATGAAAATAGCGGAAAACGCAATTGACGTAATAGTGCGTCAATGGCAGGGCCATTAAAAATTCATTTGCGGGCCGGATTTGGCCCGCGGGCCTTGACTTTGACACATGTGAGCTAGAGGAAGAGTGTGTGGAGAAGGAGGTCTGGGTGTCTCTGCTTTGTAAGCTGCGCCCACGTTGTTATGAGCATTATTATACTTTATTGGGGGCCAAGAATTTTATGTATGGACCATAATGATAGTAATGATAAATTATCAACCATTCAAATTCATATAGCTGACCTGATATCTACAACATAATTTAATTATTTTAATCATTTTTGCTCAAACACTGAATTTAGACAAGTTCTAAAATCTCAGATGATATGGATCAAAGAGGGGAAATCCTCTCTGAATATGTATCACAGTCTGCAGGCTGCTGCTGTGATGAATGATCAAAGATACTCTACGTCTCTGTTCTGCGCTCGTGTGTCTCCGTTATAATTCACGGAGGAATTTCTGTGATCTGCTGCACCCTGTGCTCGCACTAAAATCATTGAGTCTGTGTTTTGGCACGGTGCCAAAAGACCCCTGGAGAACGAACAGGAACACACTTTGATGTTTCCATCTTTCATTCATCTTTAATAATAAACACAAGTCGTCTTCATCTTTCCCTGTGTTCCGTTCATCTCTGTTTACCGACCTGTGTGGACGAGGCTTAAAATATGAGGCTATTTTTAAATTCTTCCTCTTTTTCTACCAGGAACTTGGTAAAGAAATACTGCCCCAAACGCCCCAAAGATGAGGAACCCAGGTAACCATGCAGTTTCTTTGTTGTAAGACAATGTTATCTTGTTTAAACATTACTGTAGTCTATAACAGAACATTGTGTTTATATCATGCAGCTTAACTGGCATTATGGTGTTTATTAAGCCATAGAATTGATAGGAATTACCAGAAATGTTATGAACAGCCTCAAAGCCAATGTCAATGCAATACAAAAAAACAACTCTGAGTTAAGTTGTTCCATAATGTTTCTTTAAATGATCTCTAACTTTCCACTGATCCATACATTTATATCCAGAAGTTTGACAAATACTTTCCATACAGGTTCTCTGCGTGTCTATCGTTTTACTCCATACTCAATGAGCTGAATGATTTTGCGGGCCAGAGGGAGCTGGTTGCGGAGGAAATGGGCCACAAAGTGTACGGAGAGCTGATGAGGTACAGCCAGGACCTGAAGACCGAGCGGAAACATGTGAGTGGTTCCCCTGTTACGTATATTACAGAAACAGACCGACCTATTTTGATGTACATTCTCATCTCATCTATTTTGTCTGGGGGGAAAAAAAAAACGGCTTTAAGAATCTTTCTGTAGCCCAGCACCTCCCCCGCACTGTGCCTCAGGGCCCGGGGCGGCTGTGACTGCATGTATTGATTTGCACTCTGTTGGATAAGGTGCAAATCTGGCCTGAAGAAATATGTTATTGTTCTGATTTTGTAGTTTTCTGTAAGTAAAACCTGATTAATAGCACGTTTTAATCCTTTTTTCAGTGGCCTTCAGTGTCAAGACAGAGAGAATATTGAATTTTCATCTATAAATATCTCTAAATCAAAAGTTATGTTACTAATTTATGTTTCAGTTTTCTCTGTTTCTTGCTTTTTTATACATGTTTTCATTAGGGTTTGGTGCCATCGCTAATAATTGGTTTATAATTAGGGACAGTCTATCATTTACATTATATTCATTGTCAAAGTGCTGTTGACTCCACACATTTTACCGTACAGTCAGGCTTTTATTTTAACAGCAGTCTATGAACACCTATAAAAACCCCATAAATGTCAGTTTTACTTTTAGTGCTTGTGTTTTAGTCGTGTTTTATGGCGTGCATGCATAACAGTCAAATGTCTTTCCAGCACCTGCAGGAGGGCCGGAAGGCTCAGCAGTACTTGGACCAGTGCTGGAAGCAGATGGATAATGTAAGTGTGAAGGGGGTGACCAGGGTTTCCTCTACAGACATTTAGTCTCTGTGACATTCTGCTTGTTTTGTATCGCTGGAATCCTCCTATGACTTTATTAGAATGTTTACAGAAGGCATGTCCAAACTCAGGCCCGAGGGCATATTGTGGCCTATTGTATTGATTTTATACAGCGCTTTTTGGACACTCAAAGATGCTTCACATGTCATTATTCTTTCACTCCATACACGGTGGTGATAAATTACTTCTGTGCCACAGCTATGGTCATGTCATACCTCCTTTTATATCTCAAAATAGACCAATTCCGGTCAAAAACATTTTTTACAATCCGCATTGTTGGCCCCTGGACAAGTACTGGTGAACTAAAGTGGCCCTCTTACTAAAAGGATTGGGTTTAAAGCAACATGCGAAGTTCATTTGGAGTACTCATTTACTTTTCCTGATATGGCTACTTTTTGGCCTTTTTAGAATATGACTTTACAAATGGAAGAATAATCCTAATGACTTCCTGGTATTATTGTATTATAACAGATATTTCCCCACTGTGTCCTCCAAAACCCAGCTCATGCCCAAAAGTGTTTCACCTTAGGCAACCGCCTCTGGCTCTAAAATGTCTCGCGTCCAAAATTGGATGGAGAGCAGCTAACCATCTTAATTTTCAGTGACAATATAGACAAACCTCATCAATTTCATGGAGCGAAAACATTTAGAAAATGTATAACAATTCGGTCAACCGGGAAAGAAGACTAGCAAATCAGAAGAAAAGTACTAAGGGTGTCTAAGTGCCTTTGTTGACTTTGTTGACTGTCTTGTGGTCTGCATGGTTCTGTGAGTGACTGCCTTGTGACTGGGCTGTAATGTCTCAGTGATTCACAATTCACTGCTATTACTTCACTGCTAACAATCTCCAGATGGACCGGAAGTAAACTCTCCTGAACCGAGTCACTTTTAACTCTTTTATGACAATATTGTGCATTACTAATAATAAGTATTGTCTTTGATTCTTTTAACCTTTATGGATGTAGATCGTTTTTCAAGTATTATTGTTGTGATTTAGGACTGAACTAATCAAACTTTGTCAACTATTTTGGATATCAATGAATTTATAATTGCTCTTTTTTTGAGAGATTTAATTTTAACACACAGACAGGCAAGTAATTACATAACAAATAGTATTAGGAACCGTGTTTTTAATGATTAAATGGTCTGACCTGGGGGAACTCATTTCAATGGCCTCTCGAGCCTTTGGTTCAGCTTTATCTGGGTCAAACTGAGATATTGTATCGGCAATCGGTTTATCAGAATAATTGCCAGTTATAGGACTATTGTGATAATTAAATATATGGGTTTTAACTTCTCATTTGATGTGCCGTTGATGTCATGTGGGGAAATGAAGAAAAAGGCAAAATGCAAGACTTAAAATCAAATGTTATCTAATAAAATTTAAAACTAGACTGACAAAAAGCACAAAAATCCAGAACTGAAATTAACTAGGCAGGACGGGGTAGAGACAATAGGACGGACAATTGAGTAAAAGCACAGGTGGATCACATTAGGGCGGTGCTAAAAATTAACAGCCAAGAATCAAACTAAAACTGCAAGAGAAGTACAATAAAACCAGGTCAAAATAAACCAAAAAGTCCACACCATGACAATTGATTATTTTCTTGGTTAGGGGTCTCCAACCTTTTCAATCGAGAGATACATTTATGCGACAAAAGAGGCAGAGAGCTACTCCTTTTTGTATTCATAATTCAAAAAATCGATGCACTAATCACAACACAACATAGAAAAAACATAAATATACTGTAAAACCATATATTTATATTTGACCGAGAGCCAAAACAATTTCCTAGTCTGTCACTTCCTGTTACTTACATGGCAATAAAAATGATTCTAATTCTGATTTATACTAGAAACGAGTAGAATAGAACAGATATGTAATGACTCCATTCAAGATCATTTGTTAAATTCTAAATCCACTGGGGAGCTGAAAATGTTAGCTTCCTGTTTGTAAATGAAATCCTTTTGCATTTGTGTTTCGTTTTCATAGAGCAAAAAGAAATTCGAACGAGAGTGTCGAGAAGCTGAGAAATCCCAGGTGACCTTCGAGAGATTAGATAACGACGTCAACGCCACAAAGTCAGAAGTTGAAAAGGTAAGAAGGCATTCACAAACTCTCCATCCACAAAACAACGTCCTCGTTTGACTCTCACTCTGACCGTTGTGGCACATAAACATAAACGTCTTGCCTTTTAATGTTGGCCCAGTGGTTTGCAGAAGGTCAGTGACGTATAATTGATGCTGCTGAAATTACACTGCGTAGTCCTTTCCCTGCGCTCAGTGTCTCATTAAACCTTCTGCTTTTGTGGAAAATAGAGAGATACAAAGATAGTTATTACCATATACGGTTTGTTTTGAAATGAGGTAATGCTGTTTTTTATTTCTTTATTTTTTATTTCTTATATAATCACTTATATCTTTTGGCTGAACAATGCATTACTATTTTTTCCAACTTTGTTTATTGAACATTTTTACATTAACAGACAGATACAGTATTCAGTTATGGAAAAAATGGTGAAAGAGAATACAGACAATACAGCCGGATGTCACCACCCACCTCCCACCTAGGCCGTAAAAGACAAGATGAGACAAAATTCAAAAAAAAAATTAAAAATAAATATAAAACAGACACTCTCACACAAAGGGGAAAATAGGTTATTTATTTATCCACTTAAATTCCTATTCCCCGGGTTGCAATTTCATCCTCCTCCAGGTCATGAGGAAACGTCAAAGAGTCAAAGAGTCAACTTAAAGGAGCAATATTTAAGATTTTGTCAAGTCATCATTAAAAGGCCCTAATCTGTCAAAATGAATTAATAAACCTGATTTGTTCCAATACTTCTTTAACTGATAACAGTAGTTCAGAGATATTTGAATTTCAAAAGGAGTTTTCCAGCCTCTAAATCTTGTTATTGTTTTCATTTTGATGTCCCGCCCTCCACAGTTTCACCAATCAGAAAGTCTGTGATCCGGGCGCCAGAACTCACTGCGTCGAGCTAATCTCACTGGTAAAGTACCATGTGGTGCAGAACTAAAAAATATCTCGTTATGATTCTCCAATCATTAACGACAAAACAAGGAATAAACCTAGGATTTCTATCTTTGTGAAAAAGGTGTTGGTTATAGATTTGTTGTTGACAAAACTCTTGTCTATTCAGATGTTATGGTCCCAGCTGGATTCGTCTGCATATCTGGCAACCTGAGTCAGGGAGAGTGGGAGAGGCTGCAGTACCACTTTTGGCCAGATTCTTACATATTGCTCCTTTTAATATAAGGATCCCAGGTTACCTGAAAGTTTTGACTGAGCCCTTAAAGGCGCTATACCCGTTTCTGCAATGTTTGAATGTTTAGCACCGCCCTCCAACTCGCTCAATGGCTTCTCATTTCCCCTACGCTCTCATAACACAGAGCCACCTAGTTTTATTTGCGATCTGATACATATGCTAACATTAGCATTAGCGCAACTTCTTGTAAGCTGTGCAACAATCACTGATGAAATGGCACTAAAGCAACGCACTGCTAACACAATATATAAGTAAAAGAATACCGCTAGTTTCGCGTCCGAATGTATTAATTTAAAACATTAGAATATATTCTAATATTTAATTATGTGTTATAGAGCTCCTCAAAGCAGCAGCAGCAATTCTTCCGATCATTTTTTCTTGATAACAGAACTCTCAAACCAATAATGACCGAAGCCCCAATGCAACCTCTGTTTGTAATTCAGGTGTGTAAAATACTGCCATTACTTTGCAAGAACAAGCTATCAGCGCCTGTCACTACACACTTGTCTGTGTAGAGAAGCTAGCGGAGCTAGCGGAGCTAGCCACGCTCAATAAACTACATATCTATCAATCAACACCATTAAACGTCAATCGGACAATACAGTATACATATACATCCTTAACACACATGCACAGACTATTTCAGAATTTGCTATTAACGTTTTCATGACAAAAATACTGTTTTAATGTGACAAAAAGCGATTGCGAAAAACCCGGAAGTTACCATGAAACAGCTAGCTAGCTTAGCTGTTACCTGCCTAGCACGTCTCGGTGAAACCTTTGGGAGCTAACTATTTTATTTGCAGTCATTAAATACATTTCGAATTATAAGAGCTGTCTAATATTTGTTCAAATATGTATATATTTTTTATTTTAGAATTATATTCGAATTTTAACGTCGAAGCCCTAGTGCTAAGCAGCGCTGTAGAGGCTAGAGGACGCAGGCTGCTCGCTGCTCGTTCTGTGAGCGGAGGAGAAAGAGCGGCCCGCTCAGACTCTACTCTGCACTTTTCTCTGCTTGTAATTCTTACACAGCTGAATCAATGACCTCAAGTTTTCAATTAAATGATGTATTATGATACAACTTGTATGTAGTAAAAAGCATTTTTATGAACTACTTAGAAAAAATATCGGGTATAGCTTCTTTAAGTGAGAACCTCAACCTTTCAAGCTTCAAATGTGCATTAATCTTTGTTTTCAGGCCAAAAGTCAGTACTATCTGCGGACGCACATGGCAGATGAGAGCAAGAACGAGTATGCGGCACAACTACAGAACTTCAACGCTGAGCAGTGGAAACATTTCAACAACGCAATACCACACATCTTCAAGGTACAACTGGCTACGCTAATGTTGGACTATTAAAACTGTTCTTTGGAGAGTTATTTTGTTGGTCTGTCAGTGAAGGCACCCGGTTTGGCTTCCTGAAGTTTGTCCTATGGGTGCCATGTAACAAAGCTATTTATTTATTTATTTATTTGACAGGGACAGTACAAAAAAAACATTGTCACCCACAGGTAACCAATGCAAAGTACACAGGGCTTCTGGCCAAAGGCTAATTTGCAGCCTCCGTCCCTGGTTAGGCTTTTGAAGAACAGTGAAGAAACAAGTTTAAAAAAGAGGGGAGAAAAGAACAACAACACATCAATAAAAATAACTGGCCCCATTTGTCCATTCTAGATCCAGTTTTGGTGCTCAGATTTCTGATTTTCCTTAAGCCACTTTTTTTGTTTTGTGGAGAAAAGTCTCACGTCTGACTGTGACTTCAACTCCAGTGGCAAAGATTTCCACAGATGTGAGGCCTTCACTGAGAATGCAAACTGACCAAGAGTCTTCCGACACCTTCTCTCTCTGCAGTTCCCACTGGCTGCAGCTCGAGTCTGCACACCCTCACTGCTGTACCTTTGGATATCTTTACACATTACATCAAGGGCTAATCCATTTAGACACTTAAAAATCTGAGCACTTAATCAGGATTAAAGATGCAATCAATGATTTATCCAGACGCAATGTAGTCAAGGTATCATGTGTTTCTAATAGGAATGGACTTGACCAGATGCCTGTAGACTCAAAAAGAAAAAAGTATATGTATATATTTTGGAGCAGATCGATAAAAATAAACCAATGGGAACGAAGAGAACATCAGACTCGGGACCTAGCCAGGGCTATGTAATGCAACGTTAACAGAGTTTTGCTAATTGCCAGTTTATTAGGGGAAGCTAGTACGTTTCATGTATGGCAGGCAAGTCGCTCACAGACTTCAGCTCTAATGTAGTATAATGTTTTCATATTTCACAGTCTCCGTCACAGACTGTGTTATTACAGAAACGGCGTTCATGTGCTGGGGGTGGATTTGGGGGAGGGTGAGTGGTTTTGACTCAGTGCTACTCGGATGCTACTGCTAAGCTAACCTGAATCCTTTACTGCACCTTTAAGCAAACTGCTTTTTCCGACTCAAAAGTTGCAATACATAACTTTAAAATGTTCATCTAAAAAATGAATGTAATTAAACCTATTTCACTTGTTCCTAGCTTAAAAACAGTTTGGTTCTAATCAGTAGTTTTCATATGCATGCATTTTTTGGCCTTTATTACATGAAATGCCGTAAAGATGGCGCCGTGGCAAGAGCTCTGGTGTGTGTCGTCTGGTGCACACTGGGGTAGTCTTGCACAGTTTTTCCTATGTGGTTTTACTGCAAATGGCAAATAAATTAATCTGAATCTGAATCTGAAAATAGAGGAAAACCCTTATTCAGATAATCAGCCCAAAACGTCAAACAGTGACTCACAGGGCCCTTTCCTACAAGCGTGCAAAAGACTACATGTTTGTAAATAAGAGGCAGGGGTTTGATTTTTAACATTACATTTTACTTTTGCAAAGCTATTTCTCTTTGGATGAAGAATATTTTTTTGGGAACAATTCAAGTTAGAAACCCCGGCTTTAACTGGAGCAGAAGCGTGACGTTTCTACATTTTCTTTATACAGAATCTACAGGACATGGACGAGCGGCGGACTGTGAAGATCGGAGAAACGTATCGGAGTTTCGCAGAAGCAGAGAGAAGAGTTATCCCCATTGTTTCCAAATGTTTAGAAGGAATGGTCTCCGCTGCTAAAGCTGTCGACGAAAGAAAAGTAGGTTTATACTGACTTTGAGGGAATGGTATTTTGAAATTTCAATAGCTGCGTTTCCATTGAATAATGCGCAAAAACTTTTTCGATACATTTCAAAATTCGAAAAACCTGTAATTCGCAAAAGCGGCCGTTTCCATTAAAGAAGCTATACCCGATTTTTTTTCTAAGTAGTTCATAAAAATGCTTTTTACTACATACAAGTTGTATCATAATACATCATTTAATTGAAAACTTGAGGTAATTGATTCAGCTGTGTAAGAATTACAAGCAGTGAAAAGTGCTGAGTAGAGTCTGAGCGGGCCGCTCTTTCTCCTCCACTCACAGAACGAGCAGCGAACAGCCTGCGTCCTCTAGCCCCTACAGCGCTGCGGAACACCAGGACTTCAAAATTCGAATATAATTCTAAAATAAAAAAAGATGAACAAAATAATTGAATAAAAAAATGTGAACAAATATTAGACAACCCTTGTAATTCGAAATGTATTTAATGACTGCAAATAAAATAGTTAGCTCCCAAAGGTTTCACCGGGACGTGCTAGGCAGGTAACAGCTAAGCTAGCTAGTTGTTTCATGGTTACTTCCGGGTTGTTCGCAATCGCTTTTTGTCACATTGAAACAGTATTTTTGTCATGAAAACCTTAACAGCAAATTCTGAAATCATCCGTGCATGTGTGTTAAGGATGTATATGTGTACTGTATTGTCCGATTGACGTTTAATGGTGTTGATTGATAGATATGTAGTTGTTTATTGAGCGTGGCTAGCTCAGTTGGCTTCTCTACACAGACAAGTGCGTAGTGACAGGCGCTGATAGCTTGTTGTACTTGCAGAGTAATGGCAGTATTTTACACACCTGAATTACAAACAGAGGTTGCATTGGGGCTTCGGTCATTATTAGTTTGAGAGTTCTGTTATCAAGAAAAATGATCGGAAGAATTGCTGCTGCTGCTTTGAGGAGCTCTATAACACATAATTATAATTAAATATTAGACTATATTCTAAGGTTTTAAATTAATACATTCGGACGCGAAACTAGTGGTATTCTTTTACTTATATATTGTGTTAGCAGTGCGTTGCTTTAGTACCATTTCATCAGTGATCGTTGCACAGCTTATAAGAAGTTGCGCTAATGCTAATGTTAGCATATGTATCAGATCGCAAATAAAACTAGGTGGCTCTGTGTTATGAGAGCGTAGGGGAAATGAGAAGCCATTGAGCGAGTTGGGGGGCGGTGCTAAACATTCAAACATTGCAGAAACGGGTATAGCGCCTTTAAGACATATTTGAATAAGTATACACTATTTTCGCGCGTTTATTCACTAGCTTCTAGTACGTCAACATGGCAACAGAAGTAAACAACACTTTGATTTACGTGAGATATATTAATGTCTTGACTTCTGCTGCGGCTCTCATCCTTAACCGGGATTAAGCGTCGGCGGCATCTCCTTCTGAGTGTAATGGAGCCGCGATCTCCGTATACTTGGGAGAGGATGTGGATGAGAACCTTTTGGGAAGTCGTGGTACATGATTTCACAGAGGAACTATGGATCCAAAACTTCAGAATGACGCGCACAACATTGGAGGAGCTGTGCGAAGCGGTGGGAGCGCTTGTGGCTCCCGCTGCACACTGCCCTAGAGAGGCAGTTCCCACAGAGAAGCGCATTGCCATTGCTATAACTATAAACTGGCTACTTGCGCGGAGTATAGAGTAGTGGCTGAGACATTTGGAGTGAGCAAGACCACAGTCCATCGGTGTGTTTATGGGGTGTGTAAGGCGTTATGTACAAAACTAATGAAGAAATACATCGCATTGCCAGATGTGAATGAGGCAAAAGACATTGCCATGCGTAATTACACAGCGCAGGGCTTGCCACAAATCTATGGAGCAATAGATGGATCACACATCCCTATTCGTGCCCCGAAGGATGGCTACAGGGATTACGTTAACAGGAAAGGGTGGCCGTCAATTACCCTGCAGGCTGTTGTGGACGATCAGCTGATGATCAGAGATGTATGTTTTGGGTTTATCAACACCCGGCTTCCTCCGCTATATCGAAATAAGTGTTTCCATTGCCGTTTTGCGAAAAACGTAATTTCGATACGTCCAAAAAAACACAGATTTTAAGCGCATTAACTTTTTATCGAAAAACTGTGGTTTATTCGAAATTTGCGCGTTTCCATTAGACATTTTATGATGCGCAAATTTAAATTTCGAAATTTGATGCTCAATGGAAACGCAGCTAATGTTGCATAGCACAGACAGAGCAGTAGTAAGAGAGACAGGGAGCACACAAAATATAAGTAGCTGCTATGTTTCCTAGCTAGCTGTAAATACTACAAGATAAGATCAACTTAATTAATCTCAAAATGGAAATTTACATTATTATTATTATGCAAATATACATTATTTTCCCAATTTTCTCAGGACTCGGCCATCGTAGTGGAATCCTTTAAGTCGGGCTTTGAACCTCCGGGCGACTTCCCCTTTGAGGACTTCAGTCAGACGCTGAGCAGAACGGGCTCAGACGGGACCATCAGCAGCACGCCGCGAGGGGAGAAAGAAGGCACCCCAGGGACACGGCCCGACCCCAGACACGTCATGAACAGAACCAAAAACAAACTCTGGCCTTTTGGCACAAAGAAACCCAAGGTACAAAGTGGGCCGCTTCTAGATAGATAAATGGATAGATACTTTATTGATCCCTGTAGAAATGCAGGTGTCCAGTAGCAGCAGAAACACATCCATCCAAACAAACAAAACAAATAGATAATTCTAAAAATAGCTAACAATAGTGTTAAAATGCAAAAGCACAACAGCAGCAGAGGTGGAGCAGCCGCTATAAAGCCTAATATATGGATAATGACAAAACTATCTACCTATGATAGAATTCTTACATAATTTACCTCAAGTTTACATTTGTAGTTCCACTGAAACAGTCTCACACGTACTTGTAGCTCATTCTTGCCATATCTGAACCTTGCCCTGTGCCAAGCTAATAATTACCCATTAGCTTGGCATAATGGCCCGGCACAGAAAAGGGCGTGGGCCTCTCTTTCTTGATGACTAAAACAGTAATGTGGGAAACAATTTACACAACGGAAAGAGTTTTTTTTTTTGCACACATTACTCATTGTTGAGCAAGAGGCTTCACACAGTTAAAGAGAAACCAAAAAGAAGGTTAAATGTTTTAGTTGAACAAATAATATGTGATAGTGTAGTTTTTTTATTGTTGAAAGATTAGGAGGTGGTTGGTGTTCCACAATGGGAGCCTAAATTGTGATTCTAATCGTAATGATGTGATTCTGGGAGACCACGATTGAACTATTGTTAGCTATAGCCCTAATCATGACTTTGATCTTTGGTTTGTATAATCCATATTGACCTGTGGTTTTGTTTCCTCTCCCCACCAGTCCACCCCTCCCCCTCCCCCTCAGTCCACCCGTGTCCGTCCTGCCTCCACTCTTTTTCCCTCACCACGCTTCAGCACAGACCTAATGAGCCACTATCTGTCTGAGATTAAAACTACAGTACCCAGAATCCCCCACAATTTGAAGGGCCTGAGGAGAGGGGTGAGACAGGAAGTGGTGTGCTTTGTATTAGGACAGGTTAAGATTAGTGTGGAAATGTCTTTTTAAAAACCCTTGCAAGTTATACCATCTTGACCAGCTTAAGTTTTTTTTGTGAATGCGCTTTGGTGATTTTTGTGAATGAGTATGTTTACAAAGCAGTCATAAAACCAAATTAAACTCTAATTTAAAGTACATCCAAACACCAAAACAACTTTTTTTTTACTCTGCATACATATGTTTCCTATAGTGCTCTCTACATGTCCTGCTCATTTGTTCTTGATATTTTTGTGCAAATTAGATGAAACCTGACTTTTGTGGCGCCCTCCCTACATTTTTGGTGACACTACATTTGAATTTGGTGCTCTGGAGTGCAAAGTGTAACTCGTGGATTAATATTAAATTACATCAGTTAACAGCCACTACTGCTGGGATAATTCTGTGGCTTAGGTTCAGGTGTGTAGCTCTACAATAATCTTAGTTTGTAAACAAGGATAGAATGAGAATTTCTGGTGTGTGAACTATAGGGCTGCAAAAACGAATCGATGAAATGGAAGAAAAAAAACGGTTATTAAAATGTTGGCAACTATTTAATTATCGATTCTTTGTGTCGCGCGATTAATACGTCACCCACTACGTCGCAGAGTTCATGTGAGGCGCATTCTTGCAGAGCTGTGTTCAGACGATGCACGTGCGTAGATGGAGAACGCACTCTCACTAAATATCAGCCGCATGAGTTCCGTTTGTTGTACTGCTGTTGTACTTTCCTGTGTTGGGGAAAACCGCAGGACGGAAGTGGTGGGCGGGCTTTGATGCTAACGCTGGGACTTCCGCATTGGCGAACATGTCAGCAGCACTTATTTACAGTCACAGTAGAAACCCGGGGTGAATACATATGTTCAGAAGCACCGCGTTCTCCTTCGCTCTGATTGGTTGCCGCACCTCTGTGGAGCGAGTATGTTCATCTCCTGGTTTCGCTGCATGCATCTCGCCGCTGCGGAGTGCTAAGTTTCAAGACATCTTTGAAAGTGTCACAAGGCTCTCTGTTTGACTCGTCACATTTAGTAGTCTGACCGGTTTGGAAACTCCTTATGGTCCGTTTTTTTAACCATACTCTTTATTTTTGTGCTTTGTAGACGCACTCATTGACAAGGGGGAATACTATAGAAATGAATAAGATAAAAAAATAATTACAATCTTTATATTAGAATAGAAATGGGCATAGAAACTTGCAACAGTTCTTTCTAATAAGTGATTTCTTTTCCCAATCTCTGTTTTGTGTGAGTCCTCTTTTTCCCTTTAGACTGAATGTTGCTACAATCACAACATGAAGGATCCTGGTGATTAATGATGGTGTGAGATTTGGATGGGCTTTTCATACTTTGTTTGCAGTGGTATTTGCTGTGTGGTGTGTTAACTCAAAAGTTTCACATGAAAATAACAAACAGCTGAAGCCTGTGAACTGTTGTTTGCTGATTAGTGCCTGTAAAAAGTGACCCGTTGAGATTTTCATGGATAAATCTCATTTAAACTTATGTTTCTGCATTTGCCAATTCATCGTACCATGTAGAGTTTGCTGTCTTATCCCAGTGTACACTTCCCCTTTATTTCTACAGGTCACACTAGCGGCACCTGCGCACATATGGCCAATTCTGAATTCCTTTAGATAAACTGATAGCTTTTTAATGGCACTAAATCTGTTCTTTTAACCACGTGCGTGAGTGTTTGCTTTGTGCGTCTGTCAAACAAAATTTCACTAAAAACAAAGGATGCACCGAAGGCTGAACATCAGTATCGATGGTGCCGCGTGTGAAGTGACAACAGTAGAGGTTCTCTGCGCACTTTCCTCTTTAGAAGAAACAAACAAAGAAGATGGTTTTATATTATATATATATATATATATATATATATATATATATATATTTTTTTTTTTTTTTTTTTTTTTTTTTAAATACATTTACAAGATTTTATCCAAAAAATATCAGCGTTTTCAGTTTGCACGAATTCAGTGAGATTTCAAGTGCTGCTAGAAAATCATGTAGTAGCAGTAGCTGTAGTAACAGCAGCAGTAGTAGTAGTAGTAACAGCAGCAGTAGTAGTAGTAGTAACAGCAGCAGTAGCAGTAGTAGTAGTAGTAGTAGTAACAGCAGCAGCAGCAGCAGCAGTAGTAGTAGTACAGTAGGTTCAGTAACTTTTATCACAACTCAGATAGTAAAGATCATTTGAAAAAAATAAAATAATGACAAAGGGTTTAGGCTGAAGTAAAACACAGAAGCCTAACCCTATTACTATAACTATGACCAAAAACAACAAAAGAATCTCATTGGACATTAGAGAAGAATGAGGCGGTGACAGCTACTGCGTGAAGCTGAAGAAAATCGGAAAACTGGAACCGCCAAGAAATACATAAATATATATAAATAAATAAAAATAAAAAACATTGGCCAATTTGTAAACATCGGTATCGGCCCAAAATGTCACAATCGGTGCATCCCAACTATTAACCGCAACAATAGATTCATTATTGTGATCGACTGTGGATTCTCTTTTATCAAATAAAAAAAGCAACTATCGGTATTTACAAATTCCGTTCTGCTTTTTGCTATCTTCTGTTTTACTAGTGTGTGTGTGCTACTGGTTTGAGACTCAATACCAGTAGTAAACAATAAACTGGCTGCTCCACACCGATCATTAACCAGCTTATTGTGCTTTTTCTTTGCTGTAATGATTGTTGCGTCTCAGTGGTCAGTGAAGATGGTAAGTTTGTAAACGTGTGTCCAGAGTGTAGTGTGAAGTAACCCGCAGTGCCTCTTAGTCCTCCTTTGTGAGTAGTTTTTCTCCTGTTTTACACAATCCCATTAGCTGTAGTAGTGTTGTAGCTACTCCCACAGTCCCTGATGAAATAACTATGACAAACCGTGAAAGAAATTATGTAATATAATAATTTATTCATTTACCTAAAATGTGTGAGAACTAATTTACCAACTTGCAAAGATATAGATTTTCTTTACAGGTATTCCATAAATACAGTTTTCTATTAACTAAAAACCATATTTTTATTCAAGTAGAAGTAAACATAACATACTTTCAACAATTTAGACAATAGATAAAGATATTTAAACTGAGCAATGAATACGTTGCACAAAAGTAAGCTTCCCAAAAATGAAAACGTGCACATGCTAATTATCGAGCTCCAAAATTATTTATCCCATCTTTCATTGATGGACAGGTCGGCATGGCGACCAGTCTATATTGTGATAAGAGCCCTTTGATCATATACACACACACTATTTTCTAATATAATCATAATATTAAAGCTTGTACAAAATACTAATTAGTCTTTTGTGTAGAAAATATTATTGTTTGACTTATTCTTGTGATTTGGTTCTGATGAAACACAAAAAATGTCGTTTGTCAGGGCCCACCTCCAGAAGATTTCAGTCATTTACCTCCAGAACAGCGGAGGAAGCGGCTACAGCAGAGGGTCGACGAGCTGCAGAAGGAACTACAGAAGGAAGTGGATCAAAGGTAGTTTTTTAAAGCTTTCTGACGATATTCAAATTTAAGTCCCAAAGCTGCCCGTTTTGATACAGTTGTTTGAACGTATTTAATATACCTTTTATTTTACCTTTATTCAATAAGTAACATCTGTATTTAATCATATATTTTAGCCCACACACAATCCCCCAAACGGGTTATATATATTTACTAGTTGCCTTGCGTCTGTCAGTGTGCCCCAGGGCGGCTGTGGCTGCAGAAGTAGTTTACCACCACCATGCATGGAGTGAAAAACGATATGTGAAGTGTCTTTGAGTGTCCTGAAAAGCATTTGTTTGTTTGTGTCCCCTAGAGAGGCTCTGAACAAGATGAAGGACGTGTACGGAAAAAATCCCAAGTTGGGAGATCCCAGCAGTCTGGAACCCAAGATCTCGGAAACCATTTGCAACATGGAGAAGTTGCGGTCAGAAATTCATAGACATGAGGTTAGAAATAACTGAAAACAATAACAAATGGAAAATCTGTCTATTTATTCAATAGTAATCATACTTGGTAATAGTTACAAATACTGGGATTTTAGCGCCTTCTTGTGGCCAACGTAGGATAATGCGTTTGTTAATGCATCATTGTAAACATGTGCTAAAGTTCAGTGAGACTTTACTGTTGGAAAGACGGCAGAAAGGGAGAGACATGAGTGAACAATGACACAATCGCAATGATGATGCATTAAAGTTATTTAAGAAGGATTTTCTACTTCCGGGTGGATCATCAAGACAATTGGCCCTCCCAGTTGTCAATCATTCAGGTTATATACGTGCTTGTCAAATAAAACCAGAGAGTTTTGTTCAGAAAGTGGAGAGGGCGGTTCCTTCCTAAAATTGAGAAATCCTCATGAACCTTTAACATGATTTTGTAAGATAAGATAGACTTTATTGATCTCACACTGGAGAAAGTCACATTTGGCACAGACAGAATCACTCGGGTTGTGCAAAAGACAGAAGTGTGCAACATGTTAAAGGTGTAAATGAACTTTTGGCTTACGTTTCACTAAATCTGATATTCTTGACTTGTTCTCGTGTCCAGACGTGGTTGTCTGAAGTGGAGGGGAAGCAGAGCAGAGGAGACCGACGGCACAGCGCTGACAACCACCATCATGCGCCTCCAGGACGAGAGAGGTGAGAAAACCTTTTTAACTTCATGTTGTTTACACAGTTTATGCCATGGGTGTCAAAGTCAAGGCCCGGGGGCCAGATCTGGCCCACGAATTAGTTATCTTGGCCCCCGGGATCAACTCAATCAATCAATCAACTTTTTTTTGTATAGAGCCTTTCCTAAACGAGGAAACGCAAAGCGCCTCACAACCCACATCAGGCATAGATTATCAAACATTAAAATCTACATAAACACAAAACATGATATTTTATTAGTATTAGAACCGGCCGCACAGAGACATTAGAAAATATTGGATTTTTAATTTAATGTTCAGGACGTGTGTTTTCTCTTTGAAGGAAGTTTGTTTTTGAGCCTGTTGGAAAATGTTTTCACTGGAAATGAAAAAGCCACAAAAAATGGGTTTTTGATTTAATCATTAATTAAAATACGATCCACTGTGTTACGTCTTGGTCTTGGTTCAATAGGTTTTATGCATGCCAAACTCAATCTGTTCACTTTTGTGTTAAAAGTTTGTCAATAAAGTTTAGATGTGACGTCACTTCCTGTTTACACGCCCTGTAGAGGCACAGAGCTTGTTGCAGCTACAGAATCAATGTCCATCTTTTGCTTTATTGACAAACTTAAACAAAACAATAAACATTGAACCAGTCCGGCCCTCGGCTTGTTGCAAATGTGTTTTTTTTGGCCTCTGATGTCTTTGACTTCCACATCCCTGGTCTTACACATCTCTTATTTGAGTTCCAATCGTTTCCCCGTTTGTCTTCAGTCCTGAGGGCAGCTACACGGACGACACGAGCCAGGAGCAGAGCGTCCCCCAGCGCCGCTCCAAGCTTCCCCCCGCGGTACACAACAACACACACGAGTTTGACGACGAGTTTGACGATGATGACCCGCTGCCCGTCATCGGACACTGCAAGGCCCTGTACTCCTACGATGGTAACGTGGACTATGATGACACATCCTACTTGTTTCACAGACACAAAATGAGGCAAATCTGCCTCGTAAAGACCTATGTACAGAAAAACAATGTAGAATTTTACCATTTGTATAATTTCTCAAGGGCTGTATGTAATATTCATTCTCTTATACATCACCCTCTCTGTGGCTCTGATGGAAGGAACACTGTTATTATAAAACTGAAATGCATATGGTCTGTGAGTCTGCCTTCAATAGAAAGTGGTGAAATGAGATAAAAAAATATAATAAATCAGACTGGAAAGAAAAAAACACTTCACGATGCTACAGCTTTAAATTGTATTCATCAAATCAGCGTTGCTAGTCTCTCTATCTTCACTTTCCATCACGCTCTCTGAAGCAGAAGTCACTTATTATGTGATTATTATTATATTACATTATTATTTTGAGAAATTCCAAACTGCTTAACTCGAAGTGTAACTTGTATGCTGTCTTGGGCCGCATATATAAACTAAACCAGTGATTCCCAAACTACTTCTGCTCCATCCTTGCATCCATCCATTTTCTTCCGTTTCATCCGTTGCCGGGCAGCAGTCTAAGCAGAGACTCGCAGACTTCCCTATCCACACACACTTCCTCCAGCTCATCCAGGGGGACCCCAAGGCGTTCCCAGGCCAGCTGAGAGACATAGTCCCTCCAGCGTGTCCTGGGTCTTCCCCGGGGCCTCCTCCCGGTGGGACGAGCCCGGGCCCCCCTTTAGTAAATAAGAATCCCCCTAACCCTAACACATTGTAATTAATATAAACCCCAAACTGCTGATTGTAATGTGTCAAAAATGAGTCCATCTTATGCTAGCAGTGTCCTTTAGCCTGCTCTATTCTCGTTTAATTTGTCCCGCACCCCCCACTTTGGGAACCACTGAGCTAAACCTTGCTTCTAGTGTGTCCTATTTACATATAAACAATGTCTCTGATTATGAAATGAAAGTTTTTATTTTGTATTTTTTTTTTGTGCATCAGGTCAGGACGAGGGGACTCTTGTGATGGCTGAAGATGAGGTGAGAACTTTCTTAACGCTCCCCTGTTGTTTGAATAAATAATTTAGTTTTAATGAAAGGTTTGAATCCCGTCAGGTGCTGTACGTTATTGAGCAAGACAAAGGCGACGGTTGGACACGTGCACGAAAACAGAGCGGAGAAGAAGGCTATGTCCCCACCACTTATGTAGACATCACTATGGAGAAGAACTGTAAAGGTGCTGTCACCTACATCTGACCCAGTCCTCCCCCGGTCCTCCCCCGGTCCTCTCCCAGTCCTCCCCCAGTCCTCCCCCTGTCCTCCCCCTGTCCTCCCCCTGTCCTCCCCCTGTCCTCCCCCTGTCCTCCCCCTGTCCTCCCCCTGTCCTCCCCCTGTCCTCCCCCAGTCCTCCCCCAGTCCTCCCCCAGTCCTCCCCCAGTCCTCCCCCTGTCCTCCCCCTGTCCTCCCCCAGTCCTCCCCCAGTCCTCCCCCTGTCCTCCCCCCCTGTCCTCCCCCTGTCCTCCCCCTGTCCTCCCCCTGTCCTCCCCCTGTCCTCCCCCTGTCCTCCCCCAGTCCTCCCCCAGTCCTCCCCCTGTCCTCCCCCTGTCCTCCCCCTGTCCTCCCCCCTGTCCTCCCCCTGTCCTCCCCCTGTCCTCCCCCTGTCCTCCCCCAGTCCTCCCCCTGTCCTCCCCCTGTCCTCCCCCAGTCCTCCCCCTGTCCTCCCCCCTGTCCTCCACCAGTCCTCCCCCGTCCTCCCCCTGTCCTCCCCCTGTCCTCCCCCTGTCCTCCCCCAGTCCTCCCCCAGTCCTCCCCCAGTCCTCCCCCTGTCCTCCCCCTGTCCTCCCCCCGGTCCTCCCCCAGTCCTCCCTCTTGGTCCTCCAAACAGACTCATCTGCTGCATGGACAATCACTCAGTCTGCCTCTGCTTAACCCACTCTGTTTCTTATCTGTGTTCATCCATCTCCATCATGTCTGACTTTGTAAAAGAGGTGAGTGTCGTGTGTGTGCGCGCATGCTTGAGTGTGAGGTTTCCCCTGCTGTTTGAGCCCATGAATTTAGGCGGCCTCAGAGTCAAACAACCAAAGTTACAACACAATGTTTAATTTCGGGAGAGCTGTTAGATTCAATAAAGTCCTGGACACCAGTTTCCACAGACTGAGATTTTCAATACTGAAGTAAATCTATGGTCTGTGTTTCCTGAATACATCTACATACTATGGAGAGTTATTTTGGGCATCACTCAGTTGATTAAGTTATATGAACCATCCATCCATTTTCTTCCCCTTCGTCCATTTCTGGGTGGGGGAGGTGGCATCAGCTGCACCCAGTTCTACTAGTGAAGCAAGATTACTCTCAATATGTGGCCTTATCGATGTATTTTTGTTACAAAACAAAATGCTTGCACTATTCCGTGTGAAGAGAATGTAATTATTATGTGAGCAAAAGGAACAAAGTTTAGTGTCTCCACCTCGTTCGAACATAAACCATCTGTAGTTTTCTAAACCGTCTTTAGGCGTCTTTGATTGTCCACTAAAGCTCTAAACATGAGATTCATTTAGATTCATCGAGGCTGAATGTCTTTTCCGTGACTGATCCAGAGCCGTGACACATGTTTCACAGAGTAGCGTGTTGTAACTTTCATTGTCAATGTCTCTGGGCTTTAACCACATCTAAAGATCAAAGTGTTTTATAAATACGATTATATGAAATTAGAAACAATGTTTGTTTCGACCATGTAAGTATTTTACAGGATTTTAACATGCTATTGAAATAAGGTATTGATTTTTAAATTCTTATTATATTTATGTATCTGTGTGCACTTGTCTCGCTGATGCTGTAAACTCCACATAACGACAGTGGCCATTTTTCACAGGTTTTTTGTTTGTTTTTTCTTAAATGTATTGTTTTTAATTTTTATATATTGCTATATTCTATACAAACGTCTTTGGGGTGTTGGCTGTTAGTAAAATGATAAATCATAATGAATTCTCTTTAACTTTGGGTTTATCTTTTTCCGTTTGTGAAAGTAGGTGTCATACAGTTACATGTAAGACCATTCTCACCTGGTATGTCAATCTGTCATTTCACAAATTAAAAAAATTACTGGGCACTTGTACACGACCCGACTTCTCGTCAACGTCTGTGTCCAACAGTTTCCGATCGTTGAAGTAACTGTTCTCTCCCTCTGTGACCGCAGGTTCCTGAGGGCTGCAGGGTGGCCGGGCGATTTGATTGGCTGGTGGAGGGTTCACGCTGATGCTAATAAAGTAGCACTTGAGGGACAAGGGAGAGCTACTTAGTGCGAGAAGCAGGTTTTGCACGTCTGCATGATCACGTCCAAGCAGCGATGTGTGCAGGAACTAACTGCCAAACAATAACACAACTTCATTTAGTCTGCATTCAAGTGCCATATAAGGACATCGCAGGGGGCTCTGTATCTAACTAATTTATTAACATAAACTGAAACAGGTCCACATGTAGTAGTATTATTATTATTATTATTATTATCATCATCATAGCTGGCGATATAATCTATTTCTAATACAGGGATGTCAAAGTCTAATACATCAGAGGGCAAAAAACCTAATTTGCTACAAGCCGAGGGCCGGACTGGTTCAATGTTTATTAAAACACATCAAAATGATGCATAAAAGCTGTTGAACCAAGACCTAACACAGTGTATCATATTTTATTTAATGATTAAATGATAAAGAAATCAATTGTCAACAGCTCACAGACAAAAACATACTTCCTTCAAAGAGAAAACACGTGTCCTGAATATAAAATGAATAATATTTTCTTTTGGCTCAGTGCGGCCGCTTCTATTACAAATCAAATATCAGCCCGGGGGCCATGATAATTAATTTGCGGGCCGGATCTGGCTCCCGGGCCTTGACTTTTGACACCCATGATCTATTAGATTTTGGAGAACGTTTTAGAGGAAGTGTATTTAATTGTTATAACTATTTATTAGAACACAGACTGTAGATTGTGATTAAAGCTCTTGGAAAAAGTCGCTGGGGAACGATCAGTTTAATCATCATTTGTTATGGCCTTTTAGCTTCAGTCACGTGGACTTTGCAACACTTAAATCTCGTCAGAAAAAGCCTCTGCAGTGGATTACTCAGTTCACACATACTTAGAAACTTGAGCCATTTCATCAATAAACACCTATATTTACTCAGACATTCCACATTAAAATAGCTGTAAACTTCTCGATAAAAAAACCCAAGTTGTCCGTTGAAATGTTATGATTTGTAGCTGTATGACCAGCTGTGCAGACCAGGGTCAGTAGTTTTGCCTGCCACTAACATTGTGCTTGCTCATTTTCCATCTGTTTGTGTCGTGCCTGTGCCACTCTGCTCCTCACTCCGCCTCATCTCAGTAAACGTGCATGCTCCGGTGCGTTGCATATGTGTCTGTTGGTTTTTCAGGATTCACAGGGTCACTCCACTTGCTTAAAGCCGGGGTACTGTGCTTTCCTCCCCTCGTTAATAAAATATTGTGTTTGTAGCCATAGAGTCGTAGGATCTTTTATCACAATAGTGAATCCTTTTTTCTATTAGTGTTTTGCCTAAAGCCCTGTCTATGGCTAAAGCTAGGCTAAATGCTAAATGCCTCACTCACTCGGGCTCATTACATACGTCCCGGTAAACTCAGATCCAATAGCTTCAATCTGCAAAAGGAGTTAACCCCTCCCACCTGTTTATGCAGTCAATAGACCTTAGTATGAAATGAAATGAGTACCATGGTGTGGTAAGAACAGGCTAGTTTACATACAGTACATACATGTGAAAAAAACAAGATGGTTTTGGGAGTGAACCATCTAACTAAGGAACCAGTGAGATGGTTTTTATTACATAGTTCATATTGTTGGGGTAGGAAAATTGGGTACCCCAGCTTTAGCAATGGATCTCATGGATATTTTTCAAACTAATAGTTGAGCTGGAGGGTTTGTCTCCTGCTTGTCTCGTGGTTTTGCTTTGACTGGCATGCTCAGCAGTTGGATATCAAAATGCTTGGTATATTTCCAGACAAAACAATAACATGCCAATGAAGAAAAACAAGTTCAAACCACTTTCAATCTTTTAAAGCTACATAGTTCTCCATTCATATATATTGTTCCTGGAAAAGTTTCTCATTCTGTTTTTGCATGTTGTCCACAGTCGAGGGGCGGGGCTTAGCTTTGTGTCCATCTATGTGCATGGTTTTGTGTCCCAGTGTTTTCCACAGGCAAGTTTAGCTTAGCACGCTGTGGACTTTGAGCTCCCTGTCCCTCAGTTCTTCCCTTTGGACTCAAAATCATTAAAGATGTAATGCTACACATTGATCAGCAGATGGCAGCCTTTCTCCTAGATCGATCTACTGAAACTCCCAGCAGCGTGGATCTATTCTAATAACAAACTGCCTTAATAGAAATGTGAGAGCTGGACTACATCTCCCATCAGCCACCTGGTTCCATCCCAGGGCTTTTCATGTACTTTTGATCTGAATGTGACGTAATGTGGTTTTAGTTTGAAACTGTTGAATGATTTGTATTAACATGTCTTAAATCACGGCAAATGTGTTTCCGTGGTGATTTTTTTATTTAATGACCGAGACCACAATACAAACTGACCTTTGCACTTTGAGCAGCATTTAGATGAAGTGCTGTAAATACAGGTTTGGAAAATGAATAGCTGTGTGTGTACAGTAGGTAGATTTATGAATGACCACTCGTCGCCACAAATGTTATTTTTTCAGTTTTTTAATGTTTTGTAAGAAGCATTTTGCATGACTCAGTTATTTGACACATGTGCTTCCGTTGGTGCTGTTCTAAAGAGAGAAAAAAGACTGGTTTACAAATAATATATATTTCAGCGCCTTTTACTAAACCAAAGTTAACTAATTATCTTCTTTCTCAAGGATTCCACTTCACACACGTCATGTAAAACTCATAAGCAGGGTTTTTTTTATTCATTTGGAAAAAAAACTGTATAATTCAACCATTTTAAAACCAGATATCAACACTAAAATGACTCTACTCATTTTATCCATGTATTTGGCTTTTACAGAAAGTCAGGTCTATTATTTACAGTCTATGCTCTAATGTTTAATGATAGAATTGTCTAAATATCTTTCCTTTGATGATGTTGCACTGTAATAATAAATGAGCACCAACTAATCCCTGTCGGTCATGTACAGTGTAATGTCCTGAACTAACTATAAATATGCACCTAGTTAAGTATTCTCTGCCTTCTGTGATGACAATAATCTAGGGGCTTAGTCAAAATGAAGCGACCGATCTTAAAACATTTCATTTTACAGCATATACACAAGAGAATGTGTTTTTCTAATCCAAAGCTGCTGAAAACAGGAAGCTGTCACCAGTTTGTCTTATTTTTTCACATTTAAGTATGAATAGTAATCTTTTGTAACAGGGTTGGGCTTTGGCTGCAGCAAAACTACCACTAAACCCATGTAACACTATGGCTCCCACTAAAAAGCAGCAGAAATAATTTTTCTTGTATCCGTAGTATGATCTCAGACATTTACAATTGCAGGTTTACTCAGATGTTACCTCAGCTTTGGGTAAATACGGTAAATGCAAGATCAAAAATAACCAGTAGCTCTGACTGTGATGTCACTGTGGTAAATGTATTCATAATGCAAAACACTATATTAAGGTATTTAGTAGGATTTTCTACTTCCGGGTGGATCATCAAGACTATTGTCAATCATTCTGGTGATAGGTGCTCATCAAATAAGACCAGAAAATGTTGTTCAAAAAGTGGATAGTTCGGTTCTTTCCTAAAAATGTGGGAAAACCGGGTCGTCCTGTGGAAACCTCGACGACCACCGAAGACCACATTTACATTTTTCTATTAAGTTATCGCTAGATATCAACACGACTGTGTTGTATTTGTTGTAATCACCTGTATCATTGTTGTGCACACTTTTTACTTTGAATGTTTCCCATCGACTTTGTGAACGAGCGCTTTTTGCATTTAAAATATTGTTCTAATAAAACAATGACACTTTTTAAAGAAATTGATGTGAATGTTTTTTTTCCCTACACACGACCAGTGAGGACGGGTCCTGGCTCCAAAAATATCCATGAGCACTTGCGCAGACATGGTGTAATCTCACTCCCGGCTGGTGGGGGTGTACCCGGAAAGAGAATTACCCAATGCTATTGTATGACGTCTTCTTTTCTCTTGAAAACCTCTTTACAGGATGGTCCAAAAGACGCTCTTGGTCCAGATGCTGTTGATGTTGGGTGTATTTTTTATTTTGGACCAGTCTAGTTTAGCCGCTGTGTACTTTTGAATGCACTCATTAAATGAATGAGGCTAGTGCAGCTAACACATGCGCAAATGCGGTTTTTTTTTTAACAATTTCCTGCCCCGCGGCCATTTTGAGAAACCCCAAAGAAGGAAAAACGTTAGTTTCAACGACGGAAATAGGCGTGACTACATCTGTTAATAAATACAGTCTATGCACATGACACATCTAAGTTCATTTAACAACATTTATTCATCTTTCCACTGGGGCTTACATTAAAATACATCCACTTTACAATCTGCTACAGGAAAATATATACAGTCTTGTTACATGCAACAAATAATTTACAGTTAATGCTACGGAACACAAGTCGAACGCTTCATTTTACAGATGTGGGAAAGTTTGCTAAAAGGGCTGTACCTGATTTAGTTTTTTGTTTCAAGATTTCTATCCCACTGTCGCCCCCTATCCTTACATACAGAGTCAAAGCAGCTATTTGTGAATAAAATATAATATATTATACTTGCATTTACTCAATTAAAAGAAGGTATGAGAACCAAATCAGGAACATTTCAGTTAGACGCAGAGATGACATGTTTTGTTATGGTTAAAAATGAATGAAAACTTAAAGTTAAAGCTGAGGCACCTAACTTTCAAATCACAAAACAATGGCAGCATATAATTAAATCTATACTCAGTCCTCGCCTTCAAAACAGTTTGGTTCTGGCACTAGAACATTCACATTCATACATTTTGACTTCTGTCACATCTTTAGATCCCATAACATCACATAACTCTTTCAGGTGGAACAAACATGTAATATCTACCGTAAATTCCGAACTACATGCTGCGGCTTATAATAAGGTGGGGCTTATTGTTCGGAAAATATAGTTATATATATTTTTTTCTTAAAGTTGGGTGCCCCAGCTTTAATAATAAATACTAGTGTCGACTTAAACTTTAAACACAAGTGCAGGATCCCACATTGGTATAATTACAGCAGTTATTTATGGCCTCGCCGCGTACAAAAGCTCAGTAACTTGTGTTTTTTGTCCATTTAGTAGCAGCGGGAGAAAAAATCCTAAAACTGCTGCTTAGCTTCTGTTAAAATCTGTGTCTTTGCTTCTGTCATCGTTCTTAATCCAAGCCAGTGTAATGTGCGTCAGGATGAAGTTAGATTAACGTGTGAGTTTTGGCCGTCGGTTCCAGTTTCCGTGACAACGCCGTGAGGATGAGGTTGAACTTGTTGTAGCGATCTGATTGGTTGACAGTGGCCCCTCTGCTTCCCCACAGGAGGCGGAGCTGAAAGTCCGTCTTAAAAACCTCCAATAGATCTTTGTCGATCTCAAAACCTAAAAAAAGTGACAAAATTAGCTTTCAAATATTCAAATCAATTCAATGAAATGTATATTTGTGTAGCCCTAAATCACAACATTTGTTATCTCAGAGAACTTTACAAAGTTGTCAATTCTCCCTTTTTCTATAGCTCTGGGTAAGTAAGTGAGCCCTCTTTATTTATATAGCGCCTTTCACAAATCAGAAAGCAATTGTTGTGAGCATTTGTCTCTTACTCCACACAGAGATGGAGCAGGAGGCACATGCCAGACCTATTGTACATGTTTTTAGTGGTAGGGGAAACCGGAGCATCCAGAGGAAACCTAGCAGACACAGGGAGAACATACCAACTCCACTTAGAAAGCCCCTTTTCCGACTGGGATTCGAAACCAGGATATTCTTGCTGAGAAACGAGAGTGCTAACCACTCGGCCACCCGTAGGTTCTACTTTCCTGTTCGGGTACTTGACTTTTTTCCACAAAAATGAAAAAATGTGTTTGTTCCAGCAGAAATTAACATGTTCTACCTGTGAATAAGCGCCCTGTGAGCCACAATTTGACTTTTTGTGCTGAGAGCTGATTGGCTGAGTGAGCGTGGTCCGCTCAATTTCACTTTTTAGTCCAAAAAAGATGATCAAGATGTGAAAAAAATACATGAATGAAAACTAGTGAATAGTGATAGCACTGTTTTGAGAGATTGGAACTAGCTACCTTAATTTTATAATAATGATGATGCTTTGGTTTTATACAGCGCTTTTCAGGACCCTCAAAGTCTCTTCACATCATTATTCACTCCATACACAGTGGTGATAAACCACAACTGTAGCCACAGCTGCCCTGGGGCACACTGACAGAGGAGAGGCAACCAGTCTGTGCCATCGGCCCCTCCCACCACCAACCATTCACACACACACCCGACTTATTCTAATGTGGGTGAAGTATTTTGTCTAAGACCACAACCACAGTTTGGCACTTTACAGCAGCAGCCGCCCCACTGTGGCACCTGCTGTTCCCAGAGGTCTCCCATCACAGCACTAACCAGGCCCTACTCTGCTTAGCTTCAGATGTCTCACAGGATCTGGCTTTCACCTGCAGGTTTTACCAATTCTCAAATAGTCCCTGTCTCAGCTTTATGTCATTCACCTTGCAAGATCTTGTGTGCGTTTGTTGTGAAGCGGTGGGAGTTGTGTGCCATTTCCCGAGCGGCCTCCAGGTGGCGCAGCATGATGTCACAGCCGTGGTCACTGGTTTCCCAAAGCTCTGCACCCTCAGGACCCATGGGTGGACGCTCCATCAGAGTGAGCAGTGGCAGCAGGAGAGGGACGCAGACCGCAGAGTCCAGAGCCGCTGTGGAGAACCAGGAAGTACAGACTCAAACACAACAACGTCCATTTCTCAACAGCGTGACGTCTTTTGGAGATTTTGTGTTTTGTACCTGTGCCTTCGTACAAGCTCTTGAAAAAAGGTTTGAGTGATTTCTCGTAACCGATGGCAGTTTGCGTGAAGTTCCTCCGTAAAACAGTCCATGTTTCCTCCAAGCGAGTGATCTACGCAAACAAAGGAAACCAGATCAGATTCAGATTCATTTATTTGCCATTTGCAATAAAACCACATTGGAATACATCCGCTAAAGTCCCCAATGTGTACAAGACAAGAACAGAAATAAAACAAACAATTGTCACTGAAAACAAATGCAAGATCATTAAAGTGCTTGATTAAACTGATAGAGTTTGTGAAAAGAAGCTGTTAGCAAAACCAGATGTCCTGCATCTCAGTGGAAAAAATCTTCTGCCAGAGGGAAGAAGCTGGAACATGGCTTTTACAGGGGCCAGAAGAGTCATTTATTATTCTCAGAGCTCGGTTTAAAAGTCTGGATTAATGAAGAACCTCAAGAACAGACAGATCACAGTCCTCTTTCAGAGCAGAGTGTCTCTCTCTGGTCTCTCTCTCTGGTCTCCTCTCTGGTCTCCTCTCTGGTCTCCTCTCTGGTCTCCTCTCTGGTCTCCTCTCTGGTCTCCTCTCTGGTCTCCTCTCTGGTCTCCTCTCTGGTCTCCTCTCTGGTCTCTCTCTCTGGTCTCTCTCTCTGGTCTCTCTCTCTGGTCTCTCTCTCTGGTCTCTCTCTCTGGTCTCTCTCTCTCTCTCTGTCTCTCTCTCTGGTCTCTCTCTCTGGTCTCTCTCTCTGGTCTCTCTCTGGTCTCTCTCTGGTCTCTCTCTGGTCTCTCTCTCTGGTCTCTCTCTCTGGTCTCTCTCTCTGGTCTCTCTCTCTGGTCTCTCTCTCTGGTCTCTCTCTCTGGTCTCTCTCTCTGGGCTCTCTCTCTGGGCTCTCTCTCTGGGCTCTCTCTTTCACCTGCAGGTAAATGTTTATCAAGTTTCTTCAACCCAACACTGTCCATGGCACTGGTCTCGTGATTTATGACTATAGTTGAATTTGTTGCTGGTCCACTCTTGGTAATGGTTTAGCAGCACAATGTGGATGAAGAATGTAATCAATTCTCCCAAAAGTCAATAACTCGTTAAACTGATTGAATGTTTATTGTGATAAAAATTAAATGTATTAAAGCCGATCCAGAGACAGAAGACGTCCAATAATTCCGTCCCTTTGGAAAATTGGGAGTCGAACAAAATGTGGTTTATATAAAGACTAAACAAAATTCGAGATTGTATTGAGATATTTTCTGGAGGTAGATCCACAGACTTTTACACTTTTATAGTCCAGTGTTTTTAAACGTCACCTGTGGCATGTCCAGGGCTTTCATCAGAGCTGTGAAAGCAAACATGTCGCCCGCCGTGTCCTTCAGCTCCACCGCCACCAGAATGATCCGGTTCAGGGTCGACGCCCGCTCCTCCACGCTGCCCGTGCATCCCAGAATATCCACCGCCACGCCCACCGCCATCGTGTGGTGCCTGCGGGTCACAGCAGAAGAAGTCAATACCAAAAGAATATCAGGTTTATGTAAATACTTCTCCAGTTTTCTACAATATTTATGGACATTGGCCTCTCCCTATGGTCCTATACCATGTGGTCTCTCCCTATAAACCAATACCATGTGGTCTCTCTCTATGGACCAATACCATGTGGTCTCTCCTTATGGACCAATACCATGTGGTCCCTCCTTATGGACCAATACCATGTGGTCTCTCCCTATGAACCAATACCATGTGGTCTCTCTCTATAGACCAATACCATGTGGTCTCTCTCCATGGACCAATACCATGTGGTCTCTCTCCATGGACCAATACCATGTGGTCTCTCCTTATGGGCCAATACCATGTGGTCTCTCCCTATGGACCAATACCATGTGGTCTCTCTCGATGGACCAATACCATGTGGTCTCTCCCTATGAACCAATACCATGTGGTCTCTCTCTATGGACCAATACCATGTGGTCTCTCTCCATGGACCAATACCATGTGGTCTCTCTCCATGGACCAATACCATGTGGTCTCTCCCTATGGACCAATACCATTGCATTGTGCGCTCTGCAGAGGAAGTGATCGGCCGCAGCCTCCCATCGCTGCAGGACCTGTACGTCGCCCGAGCTCGAGGCCGGGCTGGTCGTATCACAGCCGACCCCTCTCACCCTGCACATGGACTATTCCAACCACTCCCCTCAGGCAGGAGGCTGCGGTCCATCAGGACTAGAACCTCCCGCCACAAGAACAGTTTCTTCCCCTCTGCTGTTGGACTCTTGAACACTTCTTAACCTGTCCCCCCGCCCTTTATAAAGTCACTTTACTGCCCATCATACGTCACTTTACTTCACTGTACTGCTGTCACCTTACATTGTGTGCACCATGTGCACTTGTATATTGTAAATAGTAACTGTAACTCTATTTTAAAATGTATTCCTTAGAAGTGTTTTTTATTATTTATTTTTATTATCTCTTTCTGACTGTTGCACTGAGCCAAAGCAATTTCCAAGTCTGTGACTTCCTGTTACTTACGTGGCAATAAAAATGATTCTGATTCTGATTCTGTCTCTCCCTATGGACCTATACCTGGCTGTATCGTCTCTGTGGATACAAGGTGGTTTTGGACATTCACCAGAAAAGTTTCATGGTACATGTTACAGCTGGTACCTCTCCATCAGGTCCAGTCTGAGCTGCTGACCATGGGGCAGAGTCACCAGCTCCAGCCCGGACGCCACACCCATCCCACGCCGGACCTCTGCACTCACGCCCAGGATCCGAGCAACCTGAAGTTATGAGGGTTCAGATCCAAGACCAGACTTTAGTCCGAAAAACTTGTACCGTCAATACTATTTCAGTTTCTTTTGTTTTTATTTTGGGCTCTAAACCTTTGTAAATATGAATAATAATAATAATAATAATAATGTAGTGGTTTTCCTTTCATTGTTTATTTCATCCACATTCTATGCACGACCTGATTCTTTAAAGTCTTTCAAATAAAAATCTTAAATATAATGTGTCAAGTCCAGATTATGTTTTCACCTGAATTTAGAAATACTATTTATGTTTTCTTTTTTTCATGTAATATATTTTATTTAACACCATGTAAAAGGGTAACATTTGGAGAAAAACAAGTAAAATTCTATCCCTCAACCTCCCGCCCTACCCCCCCTCTTTCCGCAGATTTTACCCAATAAAAACTACCTGCATTTGTATATATAATAATATGGAAAATAGACAAATAAATAAATAAATAATTCACAAAAAAACCATACATATTGCAATATTCTTCTTACATTGTTCTTAGTGGAGATATAATAATGTTAATAATACAATTTTTCCAGTTATGTTGTCAATAACTTTTATAATTAATTAAAGTTAGAGTTAAAGTATCACATTAGAACAAGGATAGAAACAATAATAGTTTTCCCACCTGACAGTCGGCCATGAGCAGGTGGCGTGCGATGCTGCGGTGGTCGTGGCTCAGCAGCAGTTCTTTGGCTCTCTTCAGGACGCTCATCTCCAGAGGTTTGTTCACCTCCGGGAGCAGTCGGGACTCGAACCCAGTGGGATCAAACGCCGACTCCATCTCCATCACCGGCCTCACAAACCCACAATCCCCATCATTCTCATACTCCTCCTGCTCCTCCTCCTCGCTGTTTTCCAAAGCGGTGATGGCGTTGTGGTACGAGCTCCGGTCCAGACCCCTCCCATGTCCCTCAGGGTCGTTCCCGAGGTCGATGTGTCCGGATTTGGTCAGTCTCTCCACGTAGCTGCAGGGGGCAGAGAGGAGGCTGTCCATGGAGACGCTGTAGGAGTTTATGTCTGGACATCGGAGCGAGCTGGGGCTGGGGTCGGGTCGTTCTGGTCGCTCTCCTCGCTCTGGTCCCTCTGGTCGCCTCATCCCTGGGTCAAGTTCCGGGGCATCAGTGGCGCCCGGAGAAAGGAGCAGGTACTGGGGCCTCCCTCCTGACGAAGCTGTGATAGGAGAAGAATGGTCATTGTCCCATAGCCTCGTGTTGCTAATATGTACAGATGCTAACCATGGATCTATAATAATAACTGGACAATAATAATAATAATAATAATACATCAAACTTGTATAGCGCTTTCTTGGACACTCAAAGACGCTTCACATGGGGAGTAGAATACAATAATAAAAAGGGGTTTACGGAAAAGCTTGTTTGAAAAGATGGGTTTTGAGTACTGATTTAAAGTTAGATAGTGAGTCAGAGTTTCTAATGAGCAGTGGGAGTGAGTTCCAGAGGGTTGGGGCGGCAATGGCAAATAGGGGGGTTGGGGGGGCAATGGATAGTGTATAACCAGCTTATAGATGTCCCACCCACGGGCACAGGGGGCGCCTGTGGTACTGCAGACTATATTCACGTGGGCTACCCAGAAAAATTTCCCTTAGAACTCAATGTAAACTAAAACAGCTCGACTTCAGCTGACAGAGAACCTACAGCTTTCATAAAGGTCGGATTTTGTGGGGATTTTAGTGTCCCTTGTCATCCTGAACTTTTTTTCTTCTTAAATCCTTAGGTTTTATTTAAATCTACACTTTAATGAAACAAAACTCTGCTCGATTGGCTCCCGCACTAGCTCTGCTCTGATTGGTCAAAGCGCAGCCGAGCCCCTCTGTGAATGTGCATGAGAGCCACACACGCGTATTTGGCACAAAGCATCATGGGAGCTCGTCCACTGAGTAGAACTGGGAGGACCAGACGGTGTCCAAATATAGGCAAGTCTCGCTAATCTTACGATCCTCATGTATGTCACATGTACTACTGAGCACAGGCCATTCATTTGAATGGGTCGCCATCTTGGATCGTCGGAGCTTGATGCTAACATGTACAGATGCTAACAGATGTAAACATGTACAAAAGCTCTTCAATTTCTTTGTTGTGATGTGGAAAACATGACAGCACCAATGTGTAGCATTTTTGTTAGTATATAATAAATATTTGGGATTTCAGCATTTCACAAATTATTATTAGCATAGGCACAATATCATCATTCAGTATACAAGCAAAAAGGGGATTTTTACGTCACATTTCCATACTCTGATCTTACCCGCACTTCTCCAAGTCGAGCTCGGAGTGTCCAGACACAGTGGATCTGAGGAGGGGCTAGGGCAGCTGTCTGATTGGCCAGAATTGCAGGTGGGCGGGGCTAAGGGCTGCAGGGCCGGAGAGCGCGGGAGACGGGTCAGGAGCAGCTTGCTGGGTTTAGGAGGAGGCTTAGGACACAGCTGACTGTCGGAGCCACGGAGAGCCTGACCTGGACGCACACAGACAACATCAGTAAGACTTTTTAACTTTTAACTTATGTATTATTTTATTTATTTGACAGGGACATTGCAAGTCAACATAGAACAAAACAAGCTTGTAACTGATGCAATGTAAAAAAGAGTTTATAGCTATTGCTAATTTTCAGCTCTAGTCCCTGGGCCTTTCTACACTACATTCACATTTTCAATATTATCTTAAAAACTTACCCATATACACTGTTTAAATCATTTGCACAAACTCAGTGCTATTTACACATTTACAAATAGGTAAAATTCTGTTTCAATTTCAGCCACGACTTAACTCGAGAAGTGAACATTTTATAAACACAGTCATGGTTTTAAATTCCACAACTTTGCACTTCTACAGTATATACAAATGCAGTCCAGTCCAGTCTAGTCCAGTCCAGTCCATCTATAAAGCACTAATAAAAACACCAAGGTTGACCAAAGTGCTGTACATAAAAGACATACACAAATATAGAATATTTAGAAAATACAAAACAGTAGCAAAAACACACACTATTTACAGCAAAAAAATAAATAAAAAAATTCATAATCAATTAAAAGCCAGTGATAAAAGCTCGGCCTCCTCTGTGTTTCCGTTTAGTCGGAGGGACCCGGAGCAGAACCTGGTCCGACCTGAGAGAACGTGATGGAGCGTGTGACGTCAGTGTCAGACAGATAACGCAGAACAAGGCCATTCAGGCATTTATAGACAAACAAAAGGACTTTAAAATCAATCCAGTAGCGAACAGGAAGCCAAAGAAGGGATGACAGAACCGGAGGGATGTGGTCAAATGCTGTCGACTTGTGTTTGAGCTGTTTGATCTGCAAATGCATATTCAATGGTTTTGTAAAGTCCTCTGAGATACAAAAGTGAAATTGAATTGGTGGTGGGCAGTCCTCACAGATGGACGAGAGCAGATGAGGGCACAGTAGAAAATCTATTTATTTGAATGATATGATGAGTGCCACTGGTTCCACTATTGATCCGTCCAGACAGACCCACATTTAAAGAGCCTAGAGCCAGGACTTTGCTGAGAGTTCATCGCAGCGACTCACACAGACATCAGAGAGTGGCCAAAGTAGAAGGTCAGAAGGCCTAGAATGTTATATTTATGTATGTAAACTATTTATTTGATATGGATACAACAGCTCCATTGGACAGACCCGATGCACTGCCTTTAGTGTTAGCGCAAGACCATGCTAATTTTAAACACTTGTCCATAGAAGGCTTTTAGGACACAAATGCACAACTTACAAATATAAAAGTAATTAAATATACAGTTTATTAACCATCGTTTTAGGTCAGTGAGAAGAGCGTCCCACAGTTTGGCTCCATTGAAGGAAAGAATATGAATGGGAATTTGTTCATCTGGTCGTCACTGGCTATTTCATTGATTGAATATGATAATTATTGTTTAGGAGATTCTCACCTGTCTCTACGATCCTTCGAGCGAAAGAGGGGCTGAGGACCGGCTCACTCCCAGTGCGAAAGACTGGGGACTTGGGGTTTGGACTGGGAGTTTGTGTGTCAGGAGAGAGAGACGGTTTACAGCCTGAAGCACAGAGAAAGAGCCAATGAATATTTACTGAATTCAAGATTCAAGGTTCATTTTATAATGTCCTGTAGGAATTTTTCTTGGTCTCACAGCTGCTACATTGAAAATACACATAAGACAGACATAAAACACAGTAACACAGAGATAAACCATCACCGCTCTGCTTCATGGCCTTCATTCAGGAGCTTCACAGATATGGGTAGGGTCGAGTTCTTATACCAAATTATTCAATGAAAGAGAGGATATTTCTGTAAATGGAACACAGTCTCACCAAGTGGTAGGAAGCTTTCTGATTGGTGCGCCTTGAGTGGGCGTCGTCTTTCCAGGATCTGGTTCAAGCTAGCAGGTTGGCTCCCACAGCGGTCTTTCAATCTGATGAGAGCAAGAGAAAAACACAGTGATACCGTTAACAAGGAGTTTTTCCAGTGAAATAAAAATGATAGCGTTGTGACAAGTTTGAACGGTTTTTCCCTGCGGCTGTGCTCATCCATTATACATGTTTTATACAGAATCCAATCTGCTTATTCCCCTCATTCTGCCCGAGGCATCAACAGCTCGGGGCAAAGACTCAGACTGAGAACCTCTCTTTTACTTTCACTCATGTTCTAGAGCAGGGGTTGGCAATTGTTTTCTCCGGGTGCCCATACTTTTGTTATTTGTTATTTTCTGTGGAAGCTACTTTGATTAAACAATTATTTATTTAAGAGAATGAGAGGAAAACATGGAGCCAAATCATCCAGTGTGTCTTTTGTGTGTGTGTGTTTATTGGCAAATCTTTAGCATCAGTGGCTATCAGTGGCTGTCTTTTTACATTATGGAAGCATTTAGAGCATTTTTTTTTTTACACTTTTACAAAAAACCCATGATTTTTGTTGATCAATGTTCTTTTTTGAATTTGCTTGAATGGAACTTTGATTGAACTTGGTATTTCAATCAATCAACCAAAAACATTTGTAAAACACTTTAAAGCAGCCAAAAAGGTCCATCACCTCTCCTTTAGTTACACCTCGCTGCTGTGGAAACATTTGTATGACTGCCTCTTGAAAGTCTAGTTTATAATAAAGTTATCTATCTATCTCAAAACTGGTGGAGCTTTGGCCTTTGAGCCTGAAGGTTGTGTGTTCAAGCCCACCACAAGACTTTCTCCACCGACTATCACTGTCGTTGTGTCCTTAGGCATGACACCAATGGACCGGCTGTAATGTGCCAAACTGCTGTTGTGTCCTTTGGCAAGATACTTCCCCCACAATAGAATCTGGTGTGTGTGTGAATGGTTGGTGGTGGTCGGAGGGGCCGATGGCTGGTTGCCTGGCTTCTGTCAGTGTGCCCCAGGGCAGCTGTGGCTACATTAGTAGTTTGACACCCTCGTGTATGGAGTGAATGAATAATGACATGTAAAGCATCTTTGAGTGTTTAAAAAAGCGCTGTATAAAACCAATGCATTATTATTATTATTATCTACTGTATGTGTGAGGCTGTTCTGACCTGAGCTGGTGTCCTCGGCTCAGGCCGCTGTCCTGGGACGGCGACTCTTCGTTGACGCTGTGTTTTTCGTGAGCGTGTCCGTTGGTGATGTTGAGGCTGAGGCGCTTCTGGTTCTTCTTCTCTTGTGCCGACAGTGCTGTGTCTCTGTGGCTGCTGGACAGACCATACTTCTCCTCCAAGCAGCGCAGAGGCAGCGCTCGGTTGATGGGCTGAAAGATTATGGCTCCAACGACCTACAAATGACACATACCCCGTTACCCCAGAGATGAATCCAGGTCTAGACTAAAAACAAGATTGTGGACTAGAACAAGGTAGGCCTAATCTTACACAATGTCACTTTTCTATTTTATTGACACTTTATTATTGTACATAATTACATCCTGCAGACTATAATTTTTACCTAAAATGCAGCACACTTCTGTCTTTATCCATGCCAAATGTGACATGTACATTTCTGCAGTGGGAGATCAATAAAGTTTATCTTATGTTATCTTATCTTTTTTCCTCACCCACACCCGGTCCAGAGAACACATCACCCCTGTCCTCCAGCAGCTCCACTGACTCCCGTTCAATATTGCTTCCAATACAAGCTCCTTCTCCTCGCCTACAAGTCCCTCCATTACCTGGCCCCGCCTCCTACTGTACCTTACTGAGTTTTAAACAGTACCGCATATTGTCAACCATGGCGCTTAGAAGCTTAAATCAGACTCAAAACCCATCTGTTAAAAAAAGCTTTTCCCCATTTTTTTTATTTATTCCCATGTGAAGCATCTTTGAGTGCCCAAAAATGCACTATACAAGTTTGATGTATTATTAGCATTATAATTATTGAACAGAACACAATACCTGCTAATCAATGACAGACAAATGTATCTGTGCGCACTTCTTGTTAATGAATACACGCAACATAAATGAATTAAACGCCATGACATGGAATTTCAAGTGAATCAAAAGCATCTTCCACAAACCCCATGGGGTTGTTACAGTCAGTTTTGGCCCCTCCCTTTGGGCTGAATACACACATAATGAGAAATACAGTGACTTTCGGAAGGAAGTCAACATTTCCTGATTACAATAACAGTGTCCGCATGACTAAATCTGAATCCTTCTCTACCACGGAGCCCTGCAGGACACATGAGGATCAGGTCGAGTCTCTCACCTGTGAAACGGGTTTTCTGTTGCCCACGTAGTATCTAATAAGTGCAGGAACACTGTTGAATCCTTCTTTGTCCAAGCGATATTCCACTCTGGAATAAGCTTCATTCAACATCACAACCTAAACATAGACATAATGTGAACGGAAATGAACAGAATGAAAGTAGTGTTGAATCATCCACACGGTACCTTCTTGTTAATCTTAAAGTGCTGAGCGATGTTTCGCCATTGGCAGGTCATAACGTAACTTCCTGGACTTGACAGCGAATCACGAACCAGGAAATCTCCGTCTCGCTGGACCAGGTTTTCTGCCACCTGAAAGCATAATATGACTGCCGGTAAACTCAGAGTATTATGTTACAGCACGGATGTCAAAGTCAAATACTTCAGAGGCCAATATGACACATTTGCTACAAGCCGAGGCCGGACTGGTTCAATATTTATCAAAACATATAAAAATGATGCATAAAACCTGTTGAACCAAGACCATAACACAGTGGACCGTAATTTATTAAATTATTAAATTAATAATACAATATTTCTGTATGCCTCTGTAAGTCATTTCAAGTGAACATTTTGTTCAACAGACAAAAACAAAATTCCTTCAAAGAGAAAACACATTCTGAACATGAAATGAATAATCCAATATTTCCTTATGACTCTGTGCGGCAGGTTCTAATACTAATCATATATCATCCAGGGGACCAAGAGAATTCATTTGCAGGCCGGATCTTTCCGCCAGGCCGTGTCTTTGACGTAAGGGATATTACATAAAACACAAGTCATTATCGGAAAATAAGTTCCGACAGCGCTACCAGTAGCTCGCAAAAAAAATTCAAGATTCATACAGATGATCCTACATGATTACATTTTGAGTAATTTAACTATACTGTACATGTATTTATGATGTTCACTAATGCAAGGTTTTACAGTAATATGGTGCATTTTACATGAGTGTTGTCCATGAGTTTTTACATAAACTAAAGTTTTATTTCGACTGCAAAAAAACAGTAGCTCTCTGTCATTTCTGTTGCTCAAAAGTAGCTCTCCGATCGAAAAATGCAGGAGACCCCTGGAAAGGGTTTGCTTTAGTCAGAGGAAGCCACTTATTAAAAGTGATTAGATCTCAGAGTGCACAAGGAGGGGCTTCCTCTTTCCTTTGGATCAAGGCAAGTTTATTTGTATCGCACAATTCATACACATACATAATGACAGTACATTAAAAATAAAGATAAAAATCCCTGAGTTGTAGCAGCTAACCTGGATTTAAACACTGTCAGAGAAGAGGCCTGTCTCACATTTTCAGGAAGATTGTTCCAGAAGATTTTATTCCGAAACAAACTGAGGTAAAAGTTCAGAATCTATTACAGCTCAAGGGGAAGGGTAAAGTGCCACAGTTTTGAAATAGCACAAAAGCAGTACGTTTAAAGCAAAAGATGGTCCTCTCCGCAGTAAATACAAACATAAACATTGGGAAAGTTTGGAAAACTATTGTGTAACTTTGACTGTTGGTTTTTCCGTCTGTACATGTTTGAAATGTGACAGAATCTTGCCTGAAAACTCATCTCCATTCTAACAATCACACTCGCTCTGATACAGACATGTCAAACTCAGGCCCATGGACCAAATCCGGCCCATTGTGTGACCGTTGTCAGCGGCCCCTGAAATTATTTTAAATAATCATTTCTACAGTAACTTACTGCATTGATGGTAATGGGACACTATGGCAAGTTAGACCTCATTTTAACACCTATTATCTCAAGAAAAAACACCATATAATTGAATCTGTTCTAAAATGTGAACTAAAAAGTACATATAACTTTCAGTCTTCAAATACATCTCTTCTTAATATTTGGCCCAGTTGTGGTTGAACCCAAACATTTCCTGTTCAAATCTTCCTCTAAATGGGCGTAGCCTGGAGAACTAAAGGGAGCGTGAACGAGACTGGGCTGTTTACATTGCTCTGGGTGGGGGGCTGCTGACGTCAGGTCTTGCTTCAGACGTCAGGTCTTGCTGCCGCGCCAGTGTTGGCGCCAGATTCAAAATTCAAATGTAGTAATACAGGTCGCCTGCAGATGGCGCCTCACAGAGGGTTTTAGACAGGAAGTTTAAAGGAGCAATATGTAATATTTGCATGTCAAGTCATCATTAAATGACCCGGATATTTCAAAAGGCGTTATTAAATCATACTCTTTTCAAATTCATCTTTAACTGATAACAGTAGTTCAGCCGAGATATTTGATTATCAAAATTAGTTTTACGACCCGTAAAAATTGTTATTGTTTTGATTTTGATGTCCTACCCTCCGCCGTTTCGCCAATCAGGAAGTGTCATGTAAGTCTGTGATCGGGTTGCCAGAACTCCGTGCGGCTCATTAATCTCAGTGGTAAAATAACATGTGGCGCAGAACTAAAAAAGGTCTTGTTATGACTCTCAAATCATTAATGACAAAACAAAGACTAAAACGAGGATTTATATCGGGACGCCTTTGAACAATTGAGACAGCTGATAAAAGTTCACGTGGGATGCAGAATTTTCTAGTTTGAGTCCGTTCTTCACAGTATCTCCATTCGTGTGAATCGGTGGTCTAGTGGTCTAAACTTTGTGCTTACAATGCAGGAACCCGGGTTCGATCCCGGGCTATGTCTTTTTGTATTTATTGCATGTTATCACATTCTATGACAGATTGCTCTAAAAACGGTAAAAGATGAAGGTCAAGACGTTTTTTTGCAGATTATAGCTTAATTGTAAAAATAATCATTTAAGACCACATGTACCCCAATTAAAATAATGTTAGTCTCTTTTTGATGTGGGACTTTTACATGTTTGTCTAAAAAATAGGGAATAAATAAAATTGAAAGGTGATATCCTCTTGAGCAAACCCTGATGTTGATACGCTGAAGAAATACGTTCCAACATCCATTCTTCCCACTCTTATTTTGGACATCAATTGCTTATTTATTTTGCATAAACTATGTATAATTACATTGCTTTTATTTTGTTTTTGTTTTTTATCTCAAATGTCCAAATAATAATAATAAAAAAACATTAATCAAAACATTCATTCAGCATTAGCACGGCTGTCATGGCAATGTGAATGGAGACGGACAAACAACTGATAAAAAAATTCCCTGTGTTTGCTGCTGGATTTGGTGTGAATCTGGCAACCTGAGTCAGGGAGAGTGGGAGAGGACTACAAAATATTGACTGTGACTGCAGTACCACTTTTGGCCAGATTTTTACATATTGTTCCTTTAACTTTCAACTAATTTGCACCAAAGTGACAAAATTATGACCAGAATATGTAGACAACACTATTGGACACTCATTTGTACCATTTATCAGCAAAAAAAAGTGGATTTGAGGGTGAGTTGTCCTTTAAATACAGTGAAAATATGTGAATTTGTTAAAAGACCAAAATATGTCAAAAAAAACAGCAAAAAACTATTATTCCACTTTTATACTTCTGGCCCCAAACCCAAGCTGCTCTAATACATACCATTTTATTACTACCCATTAAATCTACTCAGTCTAGAATCTTGTACAACACACAAACTATGACCTGTTAAGTTTTCTTCATGTTGCTTCAGTCGTTACGTAAAGTTGCTATTTCTCAAAAAAATAAACTAGGGCTGTCAAAATTATTAATTTTTTAATTTTTTAATTAATTTTTTTCATTAATCGCGTTAAAAAAATTAACGCATTTGACGCATGCCCATGCGTCCCATATTAACACAGAATGCCGCGGACACATGTGTGTAAGATGGGGACAGAGCAGGTCTCTGGGAATTCAAGTTTTGAAAGAATACACGCGTGACCGCGGGGCACTTGTTGTTTCCTGTATGAACTCTGCATGATGAGCTGCGGGCGCCACAGCGCTCTGGACAGCAGGTCCCACTTCCAGCGGCTGTGATGACGGCGAACGTCGCTGCGTAATGGGATCATATCCAAGACCACGCACAGAACTATTACAGAACTATTCTCTAGTGTGCGTACGTGTCTTTGCGTAACCGATGCACACAATATATACAGCGCTGAAGCTGGACTGCGGAGCCTCAGTCTCCTCCGTGTCTTCTCCTGAAGCGCACTCGCTAAATTAAAGCTGAGGTACCTAATTTTCCATTCGACTACCAGTTCATGTTATTTGTGCCAAAAAAAGTAATGGTGTGAGCAAATCAAACAGATTTAATGACATTCTGCATTTCAGACTATTTTGAAATGTCCCTCATCTTTAACAAACAATAGTTTTGGTCTGAGTCTAAACAGAAAGACAGAATGTTAATAATGTTAATTCCATTTTATATGGATTTATTGTTAAAACAAACAAATACAGTACATATGTTCACTATGCTGTCATTTATATTTCCATTCAAACAACCATTTACAGAAAAATATGGCAAAATTTTGCCAATAGTTTGAAATGCGATTAATTACGATTAATTAATTTTTAAGCTGTAATTACAGTAACTCGATTAAAAAAATTAATTGTTTGACAGCCCTAAAATAAACATTAAAGAAAATCTGGTTGGACAAGTTCTCTTCCCCGGCCCCAAGGGAGGGACAGGAGCCTGCTCAAGATAATGAAGAGATTGTAATGTAATGCTATGATTATAAACAAAATACTTATCTTAACTTTGAAAACTTTTAAATCATAAAAAATATAATATGCAATAAAGTTGTTGGTTCCATCAGTAGTTTTCATATGCATTTTTGGGCTCTGTAAAATATTACAGACAAAAAAGTGAAAAAGTGAGTAATATATAGTTGATGTCCAGGATTGTGAGAGACCGAACCAGTGAAAAAATACATATTAAAGTAGAAATATGTAAGAGTTGAATGTCAAGTCATCATTAAAGGGCCCTAATCTGTCATCATTAAAGGGCCCTAATCTGTCATCATTAAAAGGCCCTAATCTGTCAAAAGGCATTAATAAAACACGTTCTTTTCCAATACTTCCTTAACTGATAACAGCAGTTCAGGAATATTTAATTTTGATGTCCCGCCCTCCTCTGTTTCACCAATCAGAAAGTCTGACGCAGGTTGCCAGAACTCACCGCGTCGAGCTAATCTCACTGGTAAAGTACCATGTGGCGCAGGACTAAAAAAGGTCTTGTTATGATTCTCAATTCCTAAAACCAGGATTTCTATCTTTGTGAAAAAGGTGTTGGTTAGCTCACCTGTCGGGGGATGGCTCCGTGGAACCATGCGTGGCTCCGGGGCTCGTCACCGTTCATCTTGAGCTCCTCCTCCAGCTCTCGCCGAAGCTTCTCCGGAGGACAGTCCAGGATGAACTGATCTCTGGAGAACTGCAGCAAGAAACAACAAACACAGGCGGTGAGTATCAACATTTTTAATACTCAACGTTCAAGCTCTGTTGGTGGCTGCTTTACTGTGAAATCAACTTCATCCACGTTCAGGAAGCAAATAAGGTTTCTACATTCAAGGATTAAAACAGTCCTCTTCAGTTTAGTATATGGTTAGGAAAATAAGACTCAGGAAGAAATCTTAGACTGTCAGTCAAGCTGCATATGGAGCCCCCTGCTGGAGAAGTATGGTAACTTGAGCACAATCCTCTCCTCCTTCCTACTTTATCTGTCTGCATTATAAGGATTTGGACTGTAGTCTGTTCATTGCTATTCACCCGTTGTCCCATTGTCTGTTTCATGGCGCGACAACGGGACCTCTGAGCCCAGCCCCCTCCATCTACACCTGTGTACTGCCCTGCCTGACCCGCCTGGGAGCTGCTTCAGTCCTACACCGGACCTGTCCACAATCTGCAGCCGCTGCAAGGCCTTGGTCCACATTCTACAGTCTGAGTCCTGGAGCGGATGTGGATCTCCCCGAGGTTTCTCACTTTCAAATAATACATTCTAGTCTAATAGAAATAATAATACAAAACAAAATACAAATATTCTAAATATAAACAAAAAAGGCAAAACTGTGTTTTAGGCTCCTACACACACTTTAGAATCAATAGCATATATTTTTGGACAGCCCAAAATCACAACAGCGGTCATCTTGAGGGACCTGTCAAGAGCAGATTAGAAAACCTGTCTGCCCCTCCTCTTGTTTCTACTTTCCCTGATCAGAAGATTATCGGATTCTAATTCTCCACATCTCCACTTCCTGACCTCTCCACCTCTCTCCACATCCGCCCATATTCCAGGAGCATCTCAATAAACTCCAAGTCCAAGTCCCTGCCTTCTTCCACTCCCGACCAAGACATGACCTGGGATTAGTACAGCTAAACTACAGTTAATATACTTTTCAATTATGACAATCTTGCATGGAACAAACTTCAGCATTTGTTTCACACGCCTGGCAACCATCTGATTCTACAGAAGAACCTGGCAAGTTTGGGAGTTCATTTTTCACATTTATTTTTTATTTTTTTTTCTCACAAAACCTCAAACATTTTTGTAAAACGTCATGTGCTTGTAATAATGTTTTGTGGAAAGTAAAAGAACAAATACATGATTCATCATAAATCATGATCTTTCTCATACTTCAAATGATCCATTGGAGCTCAGACTTATAAAATCATAAAGAATCCAACTACTGGCACAATAAACTTATCAAAGTTTGATAAGTTTAAATAGGCAGTACAAGTAATACAAATAACTAGTAACTGATAAAAGTAACTAAAGTGAAAGCTCTTTCTTCTGGAAGTACAATCATTTTTGAGCTTCCTTCTTCGAGTTGACAAGTGACTAAAGCTTTTGGTAATGATATTCCAATAATTTCATTTTCTTCCTCTGGTTGACACTTGTAAGTCATTTTCAATCTATATATTAGTCTGTTGTCCCCCAAAACCACTATTATGAATCATACACACATACTTACTTCGCAGCTGCTCGGTCTCTGCATGGCTCTTCAGGTTTACCTTCATAAAAAACGTTCTAGTTCTGACAAAATCCAATATTTTTTGCCATTTTTTCCGTGTGATATTCCCAGTAATCTCACGTGTGGACCTGTGGCATTTTGACTAACCCGACTGCCTGCATACACACCTACACCTGACGCACAAGTGACGCAACTATTTCCTTGAACTGGTTCGACCACTTCAGACCCACACTTTCTCACTCTTATGTTAGACACTGAGGACAAGGTGAGAGGAATGGTCTTGCCCAAGGACACAAGAATAACTTAAGAAAATAGTTGTAGTCACACCACTGAGCGACACGGCGGAAAAGTTTATATGTTCTACTTTTTTACTTTTTTGTGTGACTGCTTCCTTCCTGTGTGTTGCAAGCATGGGTCTATAATAATATCTGGGGCACAGTTATTTTTCTAAAAACTGAGCTTGTACAGTCTGTGGAATGTTCATTGATTAATGTATGACTGCAAAAGAAAATTAATAAAACCTAAATTACAACAATTAATTGTCTTCTCCATGAAACTGAAACCTTTCCTATACATTACAAGGTCTAAAGACATTACTATAGAACAACGATCCCAAGCACTGAAACTTGGGGGACCGAGCACCGAACCTTGCTGAACCGAGCACTGAACCTTGGGGAAGCGAGCACTGAACCTTGCGGAACCGAACACTGAACCTTGGGGAACCGAGCACTGAACCTTGGGGAACCGAGCACTGAACCTTGGGGAACCGAGCACTGAACCTTGGGGAACCGAGCACTGAACCTTGCGGAACCGAGCACTGAACCTTGCGGAACCGAACACCGAACTTTGGGGGACCGAGCATCCGCCATCTCTGCTCCCATATCGGAAATCAAACAAGGGCAAAAAAGTCTTTCAAATCTTTCTTTTTCTCTTCACAGTATTTTGACCAAATAGTGATATTGGATAGTTTCCAAAGTACACTGGTTGAAAAACACAGAGACAGTCCACAATATTTCTCCTAAACAAAGTATGACAGTTTGTGCTAGCCCCTTTGACAGTGAGTGAGCTAGCTCTTTGTTGATCATTCCATTGGTTGTGGCTTTACATAATGAATTATATCAGAGATTTCAAACTCATCTTAAAAAACCTGTTTCCTTAAATACATTTTAAGTAATTGAACAATTCTTTGAAGGTGTATTTGAGGTTGAGACCGCCTCAGCGAATGTGCTACACAAACAAACAGAGTGAGAATGGTACTTAGCATTTTTATTGCAACACTGTTGTCAACCATATTTTATTCAACACTGAATAAGTGCAGTGTTATTCACAATGAACTGATGGTTGTAAGTAAGTAAGTTAGTAAGTAAGTTTTTATTTATATACCGCCTATTCACTGCAGATCTGAGTCTCAAAGCGGTTTACAATTGTTAATTTTTGGGCATTTGTCTCTCACTCCACACAGAGATGGGAGCGGGGTTGCCAGTACAGGAGGCGCATGCCAGAACTATTGGACATATTTTTAGTGGTAGGGGAAACCGGAGTACACGGAGGAAACCTACGCAGACACGGGGAGAACATGCAAACTCCACTCAGAAAGGCCCTGGTCCGACCGGGATTCGAACCCAGGACCTTCTTGCTGAGAGGCAAGAGTGCTAACCACTCAGCCACCGTGCCGTTGTAATAAATAACTCTCTCAGCAGCTCTCTCCTTGTTCCAAGGCCTGTCGTTTATAAATGCATCGCATAACTCTCACACTTATATGCATTTCTTTTTGTTTTGTATTTGAGAGGTGTTCTTTTTCCATATGCTGTCATCATGACAACCAAGATGCAAGAGCACAGATAGATAGATAGATAGAGAGATAGAGGGATAGAGAGATAGATAGATAGCAGACACATCCATTCATACAAACAAAACAAATAAATAGATAATGCTAAAACTAACAATAGTATTAAAATGCAGGAGCACTTTAGGTCACAGCAGCAGAGGTGGATCATTCATGGATTATGCAGCTCATAAAGACAAATGTAATATTTAAAGTGAGGCCGTGATGTGAATATATAAAGATGTGGTCATTCTAAGAGCCCTGGAGATGATGTCATTGTGAGAGCGGTGTCCGCAGTGACTGCACCAGTCGCCACAATAATCCTGAGTCTGTGTCATTCAGGCTTAAACTGAGCTCATGTTATCTATTGCTTTGATGAATGAGCAAAAAGCACAAAAATAAAGATCAGAAAAGGCAATCAGAAAAAACACACGTCTCAGCTTTTTCTATGGTTTGTTAATGTGAAAACTTGTGCACTAATTATTTAAAGGCCTTCGGACTTATACATACACTACAAAACCTATAACATTTAAGGAAGAAAGAAAGAAATCAACGCTGTTGAAATTAATGTGCCACCACTTTTGCCCTCTGTGGGCTTTTTAAAAATGGCCTCTGGGGCAGGAAAATGTGAAAAAAAAAAATTGAGCATGTGTTAGCTGCATGAGCCCCATTCATTGGGCATTCTGAAGTCATTTAATTTCCATCCCTTTATTCATCCTTTACTGGGTCAGGGAGGAGGCAATCAGAGCTGCCACCCAATTCACAGAGCACCAGTCCCTCACTGATCCTCCTGCAGGGAGACGGCTGCCGTTTTCAAGAAGAAAGAAGAAACCGTACAAAAGCATTGGGTAAGTCTGTTTCCAGGTACACCCCCACCAGCAGGGAGTGAGATTACAGCATGTCCGCGCACGTGCTCATGGACCTTTTAGACCCAGGACCCGCCCCCACTGGTGCAAACACACACATTCTCTTGTACCTGGCCTTGCGTAGAGGCCTGTATGAAGCGTGCAACTGGAGCTGAGGTGAAGGACAGGTTTATTACAGGACGAGGGAATGTTAAACTAAATTCGCACTAAATTACCGTTGGACAGAAAGCGGCTCAAACATGTCCCGGTCTCATCTGCATCGATTTTACCGTCCTCCAGGGCCCTCTTCATTTGGCATTAACGACAGATCCACTTAATTTTTAGGGGACAAAGACCCCCTTGTTTCAGGCGAAATGCACCGAAGCCAATATGAAGACCATGTATACTCTAAGTACTGCGGTTCATTTGTCTTTTTAAAGGGGCACTGTGTAATATTTAGTGCCATCTAGCGTTGAGATCTTATATTGCAGTCTACTCATGTACGGTGGCCTTACAGTTGAGGAGCACTGTCAAAGACAGGCACTTGACAGACGCGTGGAGCCGACATATAAACAAGATCGCGTTCAGACAGCAGCACCCACTGCACAGAGGCTCTACTGAGATTTACCATGGTTCTATTATAATATATAGTTTTACAAACGCGGTGTCAAGAGAAGAGACACATGGAGGAATAACGTCCGTGGGAGCTTAAAACAACGGTGATCAAAGAAGCAGGAGATATACACAGCAGCAGCAGGACATGGCTAAAAGATCATGTTAGCATTAGCGTTAG